TCTGGAAGGCGCTCTTAAGCCGGCCACTCGCGCTCCCTCGCGCGGACCGAAGGGCTTTCCTCGCGGGGTCTTTTCTTCCCGCACCGCCCCCCCCCCCCGAGGGCGACGTCCCCATCCCCGGCACGGACGGGTCCTTCGCTTGCCCTGCCCGCTTCTCTTGGGCTGCTGCTCGGGCTTCGACCGGGCGTTAACCGGTTAACAGAGTTGGAAGGGACGGTGGAGGTCATCTAGTCCAGCCCCCCCCAAGCAGGAGACCGAAGGCCAGCGGTTGGGCTCCTCAGGCTTCAACCAGCCGACCCTCAACGGATTGTGGGGACAGCGACCCTTCAGAGCCCCGGCCACTGGCAGCCCCTTCCTCACTCCTGGGGCCCTTTCGGGCTAGGATAGGGGCAGCCGCGGTTCTGGGGCTCTTGGTGGCGCCCCCCTCTCCGCTTTGGAAGCCGCGCGCCTGCCCTCCTGCCGGGCCCTAATTGAATAGGGAGGCGGGGGGGGGCATTTCAGTGGGAGCGGTTGCTGAGCAAAATCTAACTGGACTTTATTGTTACTGGCAGTCTATTTCCAGGCGTTGGGTGGAAGTGATTTCTGACTTGTATTGCCGGGAACTGATGAGTGTCTAAATGTTGTCTAATGCATGAATGATGTGGCTGGCTGGCTGGGGGATTCTGGGAGTTGAAGCCCATCGTAGAAGGACCTGCTGGTCAGCTTTGTGCCCCATCTCCGAGCTCCATCCCAGACACAGCCAGTCTGTGCCGGAAGGCAGCCCCCTTGCTTTGGAGCACTCTCTCTGCCCCCAGGAGCCTCGGTCCTGGCTCTTCTGGCCAGCAGGACAAAGGCCTTTGCTAAAGAGATCATCCCAGGATCAGGGAAGCCCAAATGCTTCCCTGCTGCAGCGTTTAGCTTCTCTTCCATTATGTGCCACTTTGTGTAGTTCTAATATGGAAATCCTGACTATTGATATTGCATTTATTTAACTGAGCAGCTGCAATCAAATTGCTCTGAACTGGCAGCAAGGATTCGTAGGTCGTTTCCTTTGTTTTTATGTGGTTTTCTTTTCTCTAAAATGGACAGTGATCTTTATCTTGGCTGATTCTTCCCTAGGTTGCTTGCAAGAAAAAGAAGACAGGGATCTCAGATGGAGGAAAGCAGCCTAGAGGACATTTTGTATCGTTGGGGTTCTTCATGAAATGGCGTATGTGGTGCAGAGGTCTAAAAAGGGGGAAGTATTAGGTCTCGATCCAGTGGATCCTTTGTGCAGAATTTTTAAGGAAACTGCTGCCTCTTTGCTAAATGCCACTTGGAACTCCTTAGTGTTGCCATTTAATGTTTAGGTTACAGTCCTAGACAAAGTTACCTGGTAATTTCCCTGCTTCATCCACTTCTGGGTTCCTGGGCATATATTGCAAAGGCTTTATAAATCTCATTGTTTTAGTGTGTGTGTTTAACACTGTCACCTTGTGAAATAGTATTTAAAGTATTAGGTATATTACTCGAGCACAGGGGAGGGGCCTTGGGTGGCAGCAAGGATAATCCCTGCTCAGCTATTCTTGTGTGAGGAGCAGCAACCTTGAGGTCCAGCAGCAGCAAAAAAACAAACTTGTAGTGGTGCCAGGCTGGCTCTCCTTCCCGACGGAAATGCCAGAGACCTGCTGGGTGCCAACCAAAGGGCTCACCCAGTAGTGAGCCTGGAACGTTCCCTAACCTTCTGCAAGATGCCCAGGTCCTTCACAATCACTGGGCCCCAAATGGAGAAGTTCAGAGGAGGTACGTGGTGTTTGCTCTGGCAGTCTAAATGCCATCAAGAAGCATGAAAGAATGATGAATGGTTGAGGGAACAAGCTCTGTCTAGCCTAATGAAGAGAAGGATGGGGGAGGGGAATGAGGGATGCCTTCCAGTACTTGAAGCTCTGCCACAAAGAAGAGGGGGGGTTAACTACTATAAGCTCAGACACTCTGGGATCATCATCATCATCTTGTATGCTGCCTGACTTTTCAATGACTTTAGACTCTGAGTTCATACTTACAGTAAACATATATATGACATTTCCTTCCTTCCAGAGAGGGACCTTGGAGTCCTAGTGGACAATCACTTAAACATGAGCCAGTCATGTGCAGTGGCAGCCAAAAATCCCAATCCTTGGTTGTATAAACAAAGGCATAGAATCAAAATCACTTGAAGTATTAGTACTGCTTTATAAAGCCTTAGTAAGGCCACACCTGGAATACTGCAGGTAGTTTTGGTCCCCACATTACACAAAAGATGTTGAGACTTTGGAAGAAGTGCAAAGAAGGGCAGCTAAGATAATTAAGGGCCCGGAGGCTAAAACATAGGAAGAACGGTTGCAGGAAATGGGTTTGGCTAGTCTAGAGAAAAGAAGAAATAGGGGTGACATGATAGCAGTCTTCTGGTATTTGAGGGGCTGCCCCAAAGAAGAGGGGGTCAACTTATTTTCCAAAGCACAGAAGGCAGGACAAGAAGCAATTGCTGGAAACTAATGAAGGAGAGAAGCAACCTAGAATTGAGGAGAAACTTCCTAACAGTGCGAACAATCAGTGGAATGGCTTGCCTTCGGAAGTTGTGGCTGCTCCATTACTGGAGGTTTTTAAAAATAGACTGGACCACCATTTGACGGGGATGGTGTAAGGCTCCTGCCTTGAGTAGGGGGGTTGGTTGGATTAAAGACCTCCGAAGATTCCATGTTCTAGGTACACAATCCATTGGTCAAGAGTAGGTGAGGAGAAATAATGCAGCACCCAATTCTCTGCCTTCCCAGATTCCCCCTCCTTGGTTGGGGGCCTCTGAGGTCTGGGCCATAAACTGAGCCCCCCCCCCCCCAATGCCTCTTCAGTCTAATCAATGTTAAGTATTCCAATGAAGGAGCTGTGTTTTCTTGGCCTTCCAGGGGCCTCCTGCAACCTCCGGATTCAGGCAAGCCCCACAGCCAGACACCCTCTGGCTGAGTCGGGGGAGCCCTGGGCTGCGCTTGGGAGGGGGCAGCAGGGGGCGAGGGCATCGGAGCCCCTCCTGCGAGAGGCTCTTCTTCCCCACCTGCCTCCAGCCCCCCCCTCCCCTCCTTTGTTTCGGAATTCGAAATTTGCAAGAAACCCCCAGGCCCCCCCCCCAGATTCGCCCTTAGGGAAGCCCTCCCCGCAGGCCATCCTTCAAGCAGATTAAGAGTTGGAAGGGATCTTGCAGGTCATCTAGTCCACCCCCACCACCATTTTCAGATCAGCCTTCCTTCCCCCCCCCCCCCCACCCCGTTACAAAAACATTCTTGGACTTCACTCTAATTAGCAAAAAGTAAGTGAATCGTGGCTCCCGAGGGGCAAATTTAACAGGTTGCAGAACGTACAAAACAAGAGAATTTAGAAGCACCGTTGCATTTTAAAACGCTCATATATTTTCTTTTTTTTAAAAAAAAAAAAAAAAACAACCCTAATGCATTTCGTCAAAATACTGGCATTTCCAGCGGATTTTATTTATTTATTAGCTTTATTTCTTTTTAGTGAACAATAATATAGGGTGGTGATTTCACAGTAGAGTTAATGCTGCAAGAAGAGAATCTCGGCGAGGCGCAACCAGAGGCGGCTGCATTTCGTGCGTCTCCGGGTGGGGAGGGGACCGAAATCCACTCATTGGAAAGCGATTCTTGATATTCGGGATCAAGAAATTTGGACACCAAATGAAGCTTCTCCTTCACTTCATAGAGGCGTCTTAAGGCTGAGCATACTGAGAGATGGAGGACAAGTCCTATAAAAGTCGTCCTCCTTCCCCCCAAAAAATTATCTAAGCATACGGAAGGGATAAAATTACATTTGTACAAAAATAGATATTTAACTTTATTGACACTTAGATATTTTGCTCACCTTCTCTCATTTAGATTTTTCTTTTTATCACCTGCTTCAGCTACGAGCTCCGGGGAGCGAAGGCGGCCTCTCTTCCTAAAATTTCCGTAGGGAATCGCTAAAGCCCCCGGCCCGCCCGCCCGCCCGCTTCCCCCACTCCGGCATCTGAGAATAGATGCGTCGCTTCCCTCTGCTCGGGTTACAAAAGCTCCAGTTTTGTTTGCCATCAGATGGGGGGGGGGGAGGCAGAGCAACTCGCTTTCACGAAGCAAGTAAAACAGGAAGAGAAGAAAACAGAGATTGGGGGGAAAACAAAGAAGAGCAGAAAGTTAACCCTAAAGGCGGAGGTAATATTATGCATATGTGAATGGGGATATTTATACAGTGTATATATCTACACTACATACATGTATACACATAGGCATCGCGCCACCTCAAGTTGTGGGAAAATCCCGGAGGGAAAGGCTGCAGCCCCCCAGGGACGCCCCCCCTCTGGCTCCGCTGCTTGCCTGCATTCCCCTCCTGAGTCCACCGCTGGCCCTTTGCAGGCTGCCTCCCGAAGGCAGAGCCGTTTCCGAGTTTGGAAAGCCCCGTTTCCCCTTCAAGCAAAGTCCGACATCCTCGCCCACCTGGGCAGGTAGCAAACGGAGGGAGGGGAGGAAAAGCCGCAAGAGGCGCCCACGGGGCGTCCAAGCCAGTCGCTGCAAGCTCGCAGGGCTATCCTGGGGGGGGGGGAAGGGAGGTTGTGAGCCGTGCTTCCTTCTCTCTCTCGCCCCCCCGAAATTGGAAACGGAGCCCTCGACGGACACCTGCGGAGGGCGAGCGGAGCAAAAGCCGCCGCTTCTCCGCCAGCAGCCCCAGCGCAGAGCCGGGCTCAGCCGCTGCACCGGCGGCGGGCGGAGAAATCGGGCCTCCGTTCCGCAGAAGAGCCCGCTCCCTTTTCTCCGCGCCCGTCGCCCACCTGAACTCCCTCGGGAAACGGGCGCTCCTGGGGCCTGGCCTGGGGGAGGGGGGCAGAGTCGGGGGAGCCCTGGGCTGCGCTTGGGAGGGGGCAGCAGGGGGCGAGGGCACCGGAGCCCCTCCTGCGAGAGGCTCTTCTTCCCCGCCTGCCTCCAGCCCCCCCCTCCCCTCCTTTGTTTCGGAATTCGAAATTTGCAAGAAACCCCCAGGGCCCCCCCAGATTCGCCCTTAGGGAAGCCCTCCCCGCAGGCCCCCTGCTGAGCCCCCAGAGAAGCTCCAGGCTGAACTGGGTCTCCTCTTACCTTGGCCTTCCAGGGCACCAGGGCTAGACTGCCCCTGCGCAGGGAAGCTCCACGCAAGCAGCCCTTAAATCAGGCGCCCTAGCCTGCAGGGGGCGGCTGGGCTGAATCTGACCCCAACTCCGAGGGCCCCCAGCCGCCTTTGGGTTCTTGATTTGGGCAGGGCGAAGGAATGACAGCGCCCGAGGCATTGAAAGGAGGAAAGTGCCTGAACCTGCCCGGATGAAGCAGCTTTAGTGCTTTTTTTTGTTTTGGTGAACTGAAAAGGGAGAGAAGTTTTTATTCCCAAAACATATTTTTCCCCCGAGTGGGAAATGTGCCTCACTCAATTGAGGTCCCTCAATTTCAGGCCTCGTCCGTTGCAGGCAGTCCCTGCTTGGGCAGAAGATGTGGGGCTTCAGCAAGGGCACACTCTGCCTTGGCACCCAATCTGAGCCCCCCCCCCTTCTCTGACAATGAGAAGTCAACCAGTCAACCTCTCTGCCCCCTGGCACTGGCGTTCACAAAGCAACGGGCCAGGGAAGCCCAGTGCCACCAGCACCACCCAAATTGCAGAGCTTCTGTGAGCCCCAAATCCCTCTTTCACAACCAAGCCCCCCCCTCCTTCCCTCCCAGTAAAAAGGGGACAGCTCTCCCAGGAATTCTGAGCTGCTCTGTGCAAGAATGGGGGGTCTCTTGTCCCAGACCCTGCGCAGGGTGGCTCAGCCTGCCATCTGCCTGCAAAGACACTCTGTCTTGTCTGCCTGCATAAGCAAGCAGGGGCAGCCGAGGGGCAGCGAAGCCCAGCTTGAGGAGACAGCCTTGCTCTGGCTCATGCCTAGGAAGTGCCATCTCTGGAGGTCTACAGGTGCAGCTGGCCACCCTCCCGGCCTCCCCTTTGCCCACCAGCAACACCTGACTTGTTTCCCACAATCCCTTGTTCTTAAGTAAAGGCGGCTTTACAGAGTCCTGAAATCCTTCCGGGGAGTTGGAGTAAATTCACCATTCTGCACCTGGAGGGGGGGAACCAAAGCCAAGGGAGGGGGCGGCGGACGGGGCCCCAAATGCAAGCAGGCCATGGTGGCTGTTTGAGCAATTCTCCCATCCGTGAAAGCCATTTGTCCTCAGACGCAAAGCAGCAAAAGGGCCAGGCCAGCCAACGTTCCCAGGTGGGGTGGTGGGGGGATGGACGGGGCAGGCAGCATCCCTTGCACGGTGAGTGGGAGCGGGGGAGGTGGCAGCAGGACGGCTCTCAGAGCAGAGGTCCCGGTGGGTGGCAGCAGGCAGCCCCCTGGGCCAAGGAAAGCAGCTGGCCTGGCCCAGCGTCCTTTTAAGTCATCTGGTGTGGCGCTTCCAGCATCTCCATCAGGAAGGTGTCGATGGGCGTGTCCCCTATGAGCTTGAAGAAGAAGAGGTGCTCCAAGCACTTCAGGCCGATGGACCGGAGGGCGGGGAGGCGAAGCAGCAGCTTGGCGAACCTAGAATAAGAGGAAGGGGCGTCACAACAGTCCCCCTCCATCCGTGCGTTCAGAAAGAGACTGTTCATCTGCCTCCCACAAAGTCAGCCTCCCTTCACACACGCCTCCCGGAAGAAGGCCAGGCGCCCCCCCCCTTCTCCTCTGGGGGTTAATGGTTCTTTTCTTCATTTTATTTCTGGCTTTTTTACGTGAAAATCAGCTGCACTTGGCCCCTTGGCTACCGTTTTTCAATTGGGTTGCCCATCTGGCCAGAGGGGGCTGGTTTTAGCCTGTGGAATGATCCAGGATGCCCGGGAAGCCACGATGTAGTTGGTTGGTGGGTTGTTTTGGGCTTCTGTGTGTCCACAGACCTTCCGTTTGTCAACCTGGCTTAGCATGTGGCACAAGTCCAGAAGACGTGCTTGGCTTCCTGTCTATCGGCTGAGTTCAGGATTAGCAGAAGGCCCTTCAATGGCCAAGCATGGCTGGCTGTGCCGTCGGCTGTCTCCAGGGCGCATGAGAGATATTGGGCCCTTCCCCGAAAACCTTGGCCAAACGTTTGGCCTCCAGGTTCCAGATCTCACTGCTGCTTCCTTTGATTCAGGAAATGCCACAACAGACACACACACACACACACACACAGAGAGACTCTGGGCTCCAATAGGCTGCATCCGCTTTCAAGCAGTCCTCTGATGTTCTCCGTGGCTTCTGCCCCATTGCTCTTCCCTTCAGGCCCTCCGTGAGGGGTCTGGGGGCCCCCCCAGAGTGCCTGAAAGGGCTGCTGGACTCTTGGCTGCGGAGGGGTGGCATGGGGAGGGCTGCATCCTGAACTAGCATTTCCTTCAGATGCTCAGCTGGCAAGTACGGCGGGCGGGTGGGAGCAGGGCCAGGAAAATCCGAACCAAACCCTGCCAGCCTCTCCCTCCTCCCTTCTAGCCCAAACGCTTCACATTTAAACTAAAACAGATGACAGACGTGCAGAAACATTTTGACTATGAAATAACCAGCTTTTAAGAATAATTTGGCCGAAGGGTAACAGGAAGGTGGGGGTGGGGGAGGGAAGGATGTTTCGGGAGCGGCCCAGGGTGGCTGCGTCGATGGTCACGTCCCCACAGGGTTGCCCGGGAAGAGCAGGGCGGGGGGGCCTGGGTTAGCTTGGCTGGCTTCCTTTGGTCCCGCTGCTGGGGGAGGGGGGGTTTCCCTTCTCTGGCCGTGCCCAGGGGTCTTCCCTCCCCAGCCACAAGGTCCGTAGAGAAGCTGGGACCACCAGTCCCGCTCCTGCTATCCAGGGGGCTCCAAATGCCAAGATCTCGGCCAGCAGAGTCAGCCCCACGGTCAGCAGCAGCAGCAGCCGCCGCCTCCCCCGGAGAAGAGCGATGGGATCCTGGCCCCACTCCAGCCTCATTTGCTCATTACCATTCGGTTAATCTGATTTCATCACGCAGAGGAAATGGGAGGGGAGGAATTCTGGTAAAAAAAAAAAAAAGACCACCCACACGAAAGATGAACGCCTTGCAAGATTCAGGAAATCCCCGCGGGCTGCCTCGGTTGATCCTGGAGGGGGGCCAGAAGGCGACTCGAGAGGAATTTGGGGAGCTGATGCCACACCAAGCAAGCGGTGGCTGTTCTCCAGCTCACAAGGTTATTTCGCACCCGGCTCCCTGCTTATGAGACCGCTGTTCAAAGAGGCCCACTCACCTCCCTGGCTGCTCAGGGTACTTCTGTTTGCAGTAGGCCTCCAGCGAGGCGTAGACCTTTTCCCGCAAGGCCTCGACCTCAGCGGGGTTAGAGAGGCCCTTGGAGTCTGCAAGAGAAGGAGGGAAGGGAAGGCTTAGAGACCCTTCGAGGCCTCCCCAAGGAGGTCGGGACCATGTGAGGGGAACGCAGCTGTCCAGCAATAGGCACCGCAGTTGTTAAGGACCGACTCGGTCTCCGAGATCACGGCAGCCCCGGCGGGAACCCAGGGAACCAATCTGATGCTCCCAAGAGGGTTTTGTGAGTTGGAACCTGACATGGGAGCCAAGCAGTGGTGGGCTGCTACTGGTTCAGACCAGTTTGGGCAAACCGGTAGTTCCAGTGAGTATTTGGCCCCTCCCACCCGCCCCTGCCATATCCCATCCTATATTTCTGTGTTTTCCAGCTCAGCTGATTCGTGCGGCACAGTGGATTGCCGTACCTCAGCTGTTTTACTCACCGACGCTGCAGTAGAAGTTAAGTTTTAGAAGTTAAAATGGGCAGTTTTTGAATGCTGCATGTGTGCACAAAGCGTGAGTGCGAGCACGAAGCACAAGCTCACCGAACCGATTGTTAAACCGGTGGCAGCCACCACTGGAGCCAGGAGTGCATGAGAGAACATCCAAATGACCTTGATGGAATCTGGTTCTGCATCAGCCGTTCTTCTTCACCTTGCTCCACAATTGGTCAGGATTTCATAACCTGACAAATTCAGTTACTCTCTCAGATGCTTTATTCACCCACCTTGATTTATCTAATGTGACGCTCTCCTCCTACAAAGAGCTTTCTTCCCAAACACCATCCAGGAGGACTTTCCTCAAAAGCTTAAGAGGCCCAAGGGGCCGAACGTTCCGGCTGGTTCTTCCGCAGCTCTCCGGCTGTAATGGCCTGGTTTTGGAAGGTCCCCTGGCCTTAATGTGCTGCGACAGCCCTTCTTTATGGAAGCTCCCGGAGGCTTTCTCTCGCTGAAGCCAAACCCAGGAGAGGCGTTCCAATGATCGATGCAGAGGAGAGCCCCACACCTCGCCCCTCAGCGTGGGATGCAGGTGCTCCCAGCCACAGTGAGGTGCAGCCCCCCTCTTGTTCCCTGGGCCCATCCCTGAGCCCGTGGACTTCAGAAGTTGTGGGAACTTCATCCCTGGAAGCTTTCAAGCAGAGACCGCCAGATCCAGGCTACCCTACGGCCACTGGCTGCCCTACAAGGCAGAGCTGGTGGGGGAAGACAGTCAGTGGGAGGCAGTTCCTTACCTCACAGAGACTGGGGGGCCAGGAGGGATCAAGCCTGGAATGGCTTGGACTGGGTGGGTCCTGAATGATTGGCAATTCTTACTTAACGACCACAATGGCGAGTGGCGGGATTGTTGTCATTAGTTAGTGCTGTCTGAGCATGTCTCGTTTTACGACCACACGAATTTATCATGGCAATGCCTGTTCCAACTGTGAGTGGTGCAGTAGCATACAGGTGGAGCTCTCACCTCACAATCAGGAGACTGTGGGTTCGATCCTAAGTAGAGGCAGATATTTCTTTCTCTGGGCACAATGAGAATTTATCTGCTGAACAAAACTCCGCATTGGCGACAGGAAGGGCATCCGGCCAGTAAACACTCAGCTCCATTCAACTGCCCAGACACCATCCCGCAAGGGATTATGGGACCGTTAAAAGAAGATGATGAATGCCCACTCCAACTGTGGGTTCTTAGTCGAGAACTACCTATGTGCCCCTTGAAGACATGGGGCCACCCAGCTGCCTTTGAAAAGAACTGCTTCAATCTCCTTGTTCACTAATGCTCGTTTTTTTCCCCAGCCAAAGAGATGGAACAAGGAAAGCCTGATCCTCCCGTCAGAAGACCATCCCAACGATGCCCTTGAAGTGATGTCCCAGTGCCTGGAGGCCGTGCGGGTCTGGATGGGGAGAAACAGGCTTCGACTCAACCCTTCCAAGACCGAGTGGCTGTGGCTGCCGGCGTCCCGGTATAGCCAGCTGACGCCATCGCTGGCTATTGGGGGTGAATCATTGGCCCCCACGGAAGGGGCCCGCAACTTGGGCGTCCTCCTGGATGCACGGCTGTCCTTAGAAGGGCATATGACAGCCGTGGCCAGGAGGGCTTTTTATCAGATTCGCCTGATACGCCAGTTGCGCCCCTTTCTGGATCGGGACTCCCTACGCACAGTCACTCAAGCACTCGTCACTTCTCATCTGGACTATTGTAACGCTCTCTACATGGGGCTCCCCTTGGGGTACACCCGGAGGCTCCAACTGGTGCAGAATGCGGCCGCGCGGGGGATTATGGGAGCGACGGGGCGCTCCCATGTGACTCCTCTCCTGCGCGAGCTGCATTGGCTTCTGGTGGACTTCCGGGTGCGCTTCAAGGTGTTGGTGATCACCTTTAAAGCGCTCCATGGCTTAGGGCCGGGGTACTTACGGGACCGCCTTCTGCCACCGATAGCCTCCCACCGTCCAGTACGCTCCCACAGAGAGGGACTCCTCAGGGTGCCGTCGGCCAGGCAATGTCGGCTGGCGACCCCCAGGGGGAGGGCCTTCTCTGTGGTGGCACCTACCCTCTGGAACAAACTACCCCCAGAGATACGAGTGGTCTCCGACCTCTGGACTTTTCATCGGGCCCTAAAAACCTATTTTTTTCAGTTAGCCGGACTGTCCTGATTTTATGGTTGGTTTTAAAATTTGATACGCATTTTAAATTGGTAAGTTTTAAATTACGGGCCAAATTTATTTAATTATTTTAAATCTATTTTTAACTTTATGTATAGATGTTTTTTATCTTGGCTGTTCACCGCCCTGAGTCCGAAAGGAGAAGGGCGGTATAGAAGTTTGAAAATGAATAAGAAGACACCTGGCCACAGTTTCAAGGTCTGCAAAGCTCTCCATGGACCAGTTTCGCATTGGATGAAGGGCAGGTTGCCAAACGGGGAGTGGGGGTGTCTTCTTCCTCCACCCGCCCTCCCTTTCCTTCCTTGTGCAGGAGAGAGTTACCTGGGTTGAAGAGGACAATCGCTCGCAGGCACCCCAACTCTGTCTTGTCCATCTGCATGTCTCGCATCTTCGACACAAGTTCGGTCAGTACCCTGCAGGGACCCAGCCACAAGAAGAGAAGTTGGCCTTGTTTTTACCCCAATGGCATTTCCCTGCCCCTTTTGTGGACCCCGAGGGCTGGTCATGGTCTCATTCCTCACCACAAAGGCCACGGCTGGATCCCGGGTAGAAGAAGGGAGTGGGCAAGGCCATGCATGCCCCCCCACCAGCCACTGCTCCTCACCTGTCAAAGATGGCCCCGACTCCCGCACTGTGGGCACTGTTCCTGTGGACGTGGAGGCCTGTGGCCAGGAGAATCCCGTCTTTGACCGCGATGGATCGGTGGGAGAAGGAGGCGATCAGCAACTCATTCCAACCTGGGGGAAAGCAAGGGGGAGGGGGGGCAGAAGTCAACCAAAGCCTTGCAGGGTGGGGGAGGGGGCGGTCATTACACCCCAGAGCTTCGGTCCAGGAGGAAATTAATTATCTTGGCTCCGGGCAGAATAAAATTGAATAACAAGCCAGTCTCTCCATGAGATCCAATAGTGGGATAAGGAATTAAGAGCGAACGCTTAAATAGTTAAATGCTCTGAAGGTCTGGGAGACTCCTGGGTGCCACCCTAGCCTTTCCCACGCTGGGAACAGGCTCCTGTCTGAAAGGGGACCAGCAAATCTGAGTTTATTCCCACCCAACCATCCTGCATCCAAGCAGAGTTCTTTCCCAAGGCATGCCAGGGTGGGTCCATCCTGACTAAGGGGGCTTTTGGGGAATGGGAGCTTTGAGCCAATGGAGGGAGATCTCTTTGCTGCTATTGCAAAGTCTACAAAAGGCTGTGGATTTGCATGCCTGAGGAGCCTCAGTTTGTCTGAGTTTAACAGATTTAACAGATTAAGAGAGTTGGAAGGAACCTTGTAGGTCATCTAGTCCAACGCCCCCCATCCAAGCAGGAGACCCTACATCATTTCTGACCGATGGCAGTCCAGTCTCTTCTTGAAAGCTTCCAGGGATGAAGCTCCCACAACTTCCAAAGGCAACTTCTGTTCCATTGATTGAATGCTATCACTATCAAGAAATATCTTATTTCCAGGTTGAATCTCTCCTTGTTCAGTTTCCATCCATTGTTCCTTGTCTGGCCTTCGGGTGCTTTGGAAAATAGCTTGAGCCCCTCCTCTCTGTGGCAGCCCCTCAAATATTGGAAGATGCTATCATGTTTCCCCTGGTCCTTCTCTTCACTAGACTAGCCATGCCCGGTTCCTGCAATCTTCTTGGTTGCTCTTCTCTGCACTCTTTCTAGAGTCTCAAAATCTTTTTTATAGTGTGGTGACCAAAACTGGATGCAGTATTCTTACTAAGACTTTGTAGAGTAGTATTAGTACCTCCCTTGATCTTGATTGTATCCCTCTGTTAATGCAATTTAGGATTGCATTGGCTTTTTTGGCTGCTGCCGCACACAGCTGGCTTCTATTTTATTGGTTGTCCACTAAGACTCCAGGATCCCTCTCACAGTTCCTGCTATTAAGCCTGGTTTCACCCAGTCTATATGGGTACTTTTGGTTTTTCTTGCCTAAGTGCTTTTCTCTACACTGAATTTCATTTTGTTAGATAGAGTTATCCAAACCACAATTCTGGCTGTGTGGATGCTGCAATTCCCAGCCCAGTTAGCAGTCACAACTGTGTTAAACATCAGGCAGGCAGAAGCCAAGGTGAGGGGGCTCAGGCCTGCTTTCCAGATCACCCCAACTCTGACCTGCAGCTTCCACACACAGCTGTCCTGTCCCCCACAGCCAGCCCTCTTCCAGCTCTTTTAAACTTGCCACAGCCAGTTTTTCCCTGCATTTGGAGTCTAAAGGAAGTCGCTGGATCTGGATCCTTCATTCTCCGCTCCAGATATATGTGTGGAGGAAATAAACAGCCCTTCGAGAGCAATAAACAACTTTCGGGACAAGCTTCTGCGGTTGCAGCCTGCAAGTATTGGAACTCTCCAAATTATTCCAGAGGTGTGAATTGGGACCTGCTTGCCAAGATGCAGCAGAGGAAGTGTTTGGGGAGCTCAGCCAGCAACTCCTCCAAGCCACTTCAGGGTCCTTGGCCTTTATGGTGTCTTGGAAGGCTGCTCAAACTTCCCATATTCCCAGGTGGAAGCGGCTTTGCCTAAGCAGGTAAGAGCTGAATATTCCTCTCCTCCTCCTCTTCCCTCTCTTCCTTGATACGCGCTGCTAGTATTAACTACAATCAAGCCATCAATCAGACTAGAGCTAGAAGGGATCTTGGAGGTCTTTTAGTCCAACCCCCTACTCAAGCAGGAGAACCTATACCATTTGAGACAAGTGGCTGCCCAGTCTCTTCTTAAAACCTCCAATGTTGGAGCACCCACAACTTCTGGTGGCAAGCTGTTCCACTGGTTAATTGTCCCCACTGTTAGGAAGTTTCTCCTTAGTTCCAGGTTGCTTCTCTCCTTGATTAGTTTCCATCCATTGTTTCTTGTCCTGCCCTCTGGTGCTTTGGAAAATAACCTCTTCTTTGTGGCAGCCCCTCAAATACTGGAATACTGTATCATCTCACCCTTAATCCTTCTTTTCTCTAGATTGGCCAAACCCAAATCCTGCAACTGTTCTTTTTTTTTTTTTATTGCAAAAGTTTTACAATTACATTTTCACCCCTTTTTCCCCCCACCTCCCCCCCAAACTTCCCAACCTCCCTAACCCTCCCTAACCCTCCCCTCCCCCCAGACTTCCCTATAATATACTCATAATCATGAAGAACCCTAATATAACACTTATATATAAACTTGAGCCCCTCCCTCCCCTGTATAATTTTCCTCTTTGTCTCATTACTTTAAAAAATTTCTAATACATTGTTTTCAAGTAAAAGCTATTTGATACTTTCTAGTTTGATATTTGTTCTGAACATATTCTATCCACCTTTTCCATTCCCACTCATAAGTCTCTTGTGAACAATCTTTTAAATATGCTGAAATCTTCGCCATCTCTGCAAAACTGGCCATCTTCAAAGTCCATTCCTCAATAGTGGGCAAAGCTTCATTCTTCCAGTATTTACCTATCAACAATCTTGCCGCTGTTATCATATACAATATCAATTTTGTTTCACCCAATGTAAAACCCTTAACTATACCCAATAAAAACAGTTGTGGAGAAAATTGAATTTTTTTCTTCAAAACATTCTGCATGACCCACCAAATTTTTATCCAAAAAGCCTTAACTTTCCTACAGGTCCACCAGACATGATAATACGTAGCATCCAAACATTCACATCTCCAACATTTTGGCTGAACATTAGGGTACATACATGACAACTTTTTGGGATCTAAATGCCATCTATAAAACATTTTGTAGAAATTTTCCCTCAGGTTCTGCGACTGTGTAAATTTAACATTCTGAACCCAAATTTTTTCCCATGTTTCCAGCATCACTGGTTCTTCAAAATTCTGTGCCCACTTAATCATACAGTCTTTAACTAATTCAGTTTCTGAATCTCTTTCTAGCAAAACATTATAAAGCCTTTTGATATGCATTGGACCTTTCTCTCTTATATGTCTAACCAATTCTTCCTCATGCAACATAATACCAGTTTTTTGGTCCTCTTTCCATCTCAATTGTAATTGATTATATTGTAACCAAGTTAAATTAATCCCTTCGTCCAACAGTGTCTGCAATGTCTTCAGCTGCCATCTACCCGCATCTGTAAAAAGAACCTCTTTATATAAAAACCCCCCGAGTGACATTATATTTGTATTCCACAAAGTATGACCAAGATCCAGCCATAGCGGTATTTTATAATCCCATTTGAATCGGTGCTTCTTCCAGACTCTCATCAAAGAGTCTCTCAGTATGTGACTTTTAAATACTTTATCTACTTTGTCGTCGTAAAATAAGTAAGCATGCCATCCAAATTCAAGATCAAAACTTTCTGCATTCAGTATTCCAGTCTTTTTCCTTCCAAACCAATCACTTGTTAAAGTTAAAGCTGCTGCATCATAATATAACTGTAGGTTTGGAAGTTTAAGACCTCCTCTTTCTGGAACATCTTGCATAATTTTCAATTTCACTCTCGGCTTCTTCTCGTTCCAGACAAACTTATTCACTCCAGATTGCCAAACTTTCAATTGTTTATCACTTTTAAGCACCGGAATCATTTGAAACAAAAAAAGAAATCTTGGCAAAATGTTCATCTTAACTGCTGCTATTCTTCCAAGTAAAGACAGCTGCAGTTTTTTCCAAGTCTCCATGTCTTTCTGCACCTCTCGCCACAACACCTCATAGTTATTTTGAAACAATTTCATGTTTGATTCTGCAACCTGAACTCCTAGATATTTTACCTTAGGTACAGTCTCAAAACCTGCCCTCCTTTCAAGCTCATGTTTGCGATCTTGTGTCATGTTTTTAACTATCATTTTAGTCTTTTTTGAATTCAGTCTAAAACCTGAAACTTTACCATAGTCTTGTATAATGTCCTTCATCAGGATTATTGATTCCATTGGTTGTGATAGGGTAACAACCAGATCATCTGCAAATGCCTTTATTCTGTAATCCTCTTGCCTAATCCTTATTCCTTTCAAAGTATTAGAGTCCCGTATTGTATTTAACAAGACTTCTAGTGTTAGAATAAATAAAAGTGGGGACAACGGACATCCCTGTCTTGTTCCTTTTTCAATTTTAAACTCTGTTGTCAAACTTCCATTAATGATGATCTGTGCCTTTTGCTCTTGGTAAATTGCTGAAATCGCTTGTATAAATTGATCCCCAAAATCCATCTTTTTTAAAGTCTTTAGTAGAAAATTCCAATCAACTCTGTCAAAGGCCTTCTCTGCGTCCAGAAAGACCAGCATTGCAGGAATCTGTTTATTCTTGTCAAGATATTCCAATAAATCTATTACTTGCCTTACATTGTCCTTCATGTGTCTGCCCTCGATAAATCCCGCTTGGTCCTCATGAATCACCTTTTGGATTACTGGCATCAACCTGTTGGCTAATACTTTTGCATAGATTTTATAATCTGTATTCAAAAGAGATATTGGTCTATAATTCTCTGGTTTTTTAGGACCGACTTGTTCTTTTGGTATCAAAGATATGTAAGCTGTTGTCCATGATGGGGGTATTTTACCCCCTTGTTGAATATTGCAAAATAAGTCTCTAAGTTGTTCCACCATTTCAGCTTGCAAGGTTTTGTAATACACTGCAGTCAAACCATCCGTACCAGGAGCTTTGGCTGTTTTTAACTGTTTAATTGCTACTATTATCTCCTCCTCTGTTATAGGATAATTCATCCTTTCCTTTTGTTGATCAGTAATTTTTGTAACTCTTTTATCGTTTAAATATTTTTCTATAAGTCCATTCTGCACCTCCTCCTTGGCATATAATTTGGTATAATAGTCCACAAAAGCTTCTTTAATTAATTTTTGTTGAAAAATTTCTTTCCCTCCAATATCAATACTATCTATAGTCCGTATACTTTGTTTTTTCCTCAATGTGTAAGCCAACCATCTGCCCGGTTTATTAGCGTTGCAAAATGTATTATGCTTCGCATATTGTAAGTTTGTTGCAACTTGTTCCGCCATAAACATTTGAAATTGGTCTTTCAAAAGTTTTATAGCACTGCTTATTCTTTCATCTGTTGGATTTTTAATAAGTAACTGTTCTTTATTCTTTATTTCTATTTCCAATTCAGATCTTTTCTTTTGTCGAAACAGTCTATGTTTAGAGTTCATGTAGATAAGTACCCCTCTCATATAAGCTTTGCTTGCGTCCCAGACAATTTCAATTGGGGTACCTTTATTCAGATTTATTTCAAAAAATTCTTTCAGATGCTTTTTAAGTTCTGTTGTATTTTTTTCATATCTAAACAAGTTCTCATTTAATCTCCAGGAACGTCTCTCAACCTTATCCATCTCAATTTCTATCCATACTGGGCTGTGGTCAGTCAAAGTTCTTGGAAAAATCTTTGTTCTTTTTGTCTTGACAAGTAAATCATCTGACAACAAGATAAAGTCAATCCTAGAGAAGGATCTGTGTCTATCAGAAAAGAAAGTGTAGTCCAGTTCTTTTGGATTATGTATTCTCCAAACATCTTTTAGTTCCATATCTTCTTTCATGTCAAAAAAGGTCTGTGGTAGTCTGGTTCTAGACTTTGCCAAACTCTTTTTATCTAATTTAGAATCAATTACTCCATTCCAGTCTCCCATAATTAAAATAGATCTATAATCCCATTGCAGTATTTTGGTATGTAGCATCTTGTAGAAATAGTCCTGTTGTTGATTGGGAGCATAAATTCCAATCAAAAGAATTTGGCCCTTTGCCGTAAGCAATTCAATTGCTACAAACCTACCATCTTCATCTGTTTCTATAACTTTAGCTGTTAATTTTTTATTTACATAGATAACCACACCATTCTTTTTTTGCGAAGTTGAAGATATAAAATGTGTTCCTAGTTTGGAGTTTATCAGATATTTTTGATCTAGAGTTGTGATATGCGTTTCTTGTAAACAAATTATATCATTATTAAATTGTTTCAAATTGTTTCAAATAAGCCCCCGACTTGTACAGAAGTGTAAAAGGATTTTTGCAGGATATCATTTCTTATTTCTCTTTCTGTAAAATATATGACCACATCTCTAGGTAATTGTCTTTGTCTGGCCACCCAAGAGTTCACTCTGTAAATTTTGTCTATTTTATGAAAAACCACATCAGGATTAACTTGTAGAATCTTAGCCAAGGCCTCAGAACAGACTTGTCTCAAATCCTGTCTTTCCTCCTCTCGGATTCCCCGAAGCCGTATAGCAAACTCCATTGCCCTGAATTGTATCATAACAATCTCGTCTTCAACTCTGTGCATTTTATTGTCAACATCAGCAATTTTATAATCATTGTCTTTCATCTTAACATTAACTTCTGATTTAAGTTCTTCAACTTTAAAATCAACTTTCCCAATAAATTCTGCCAGGCCAGATGCCACTTCTGATATTTTTTTGGTCACCTTGTTTTGATTCTGTTTCACCATATCTTTAACTTCATTAATTTCCTGCATAAATTCCTGGTGTGATTTTTGAAGTTTATCATCTATCCCCTGATGTGATTTTTGAAGTTTGTCATCTATCTCCTGTTGAGATTTTTGAAATTTATCATCCAGAGTTTTAGAAATAAATTCTTTTAAATCTCCCACATCAAATTCTCTTTTTTGAGTCTGTAACTGTTGAGCAGGGGGAAGCTGCGTTTCATGTTTGTGTGTGGGGGATCCTGCCTTCCCTTCCTGCTTCTTTGAAGCCATCGTGCCTCGTGATCTAGTTTTTCTGAAGAGGGAAATTCCTTTTCCTTTCCCTCTTCCACAGAAACTTCTAAAAAAGTCCCCCAGATTTAATCAAGTGAAACTGAAGTAAAGCAAAGTCAAATTTTAGAAAAAGAAATTTTTCCTTTAGATAGAGCAACTTTGTAGCAGCTTTATAACTTTGTAACAAAGCAGGAAGGCTTCACAAATCCACTTTCACTAGCTCGTTAACTCAAATGCTGGGCGCCATATTTTTTCAAATCACTTTCGCTCACTCGCTTTCTCTTTTGAATTAAAAAGTCAACAAAGCACTAATACTTGCAATTTTCAAGTTTCTGGATTCAGGTTGATATTTCCGCTGTTTGTTAAGGTTAGTTCCTTTCGCTTTAAGAGTTTGCTGCTGCCGGCTTGTTCTGCTAATTAGCAGAAACGTCCCACGCCGCCCGGAGTTTCAGCAGGTTGGAAGGGAGCCACGTCTGTTTCCTCCCCAGAAACAATTCCCTGGGGGGTTACAGGGGCTCAACCTGTACCCTGCTATCTCTTCTCCTTCAATCTTCAAGATTTTGGAGTTTTCGAGCCGCTCCTCGATCGCGGGGCGGCTCTACAGGCGGCGGGGCTGGCGGTCTTTAAAGAAACACCGCCGTCGCCGAGGCTCGCAAACCGGAAGTCCCCTGCAACTGTTCTTAATGTGGCGATCAAAACTGGATGCAGGATTCCAGGTGTGGCCTTACCAAGGCATTATAAAGTGTTACTAATATTTCACTTGATTTTGATTCTATGCCAACCAAGGATCATATTAGCTTTTTTGGCAGCTACCACACACAGTTGGTTCGTGTTTAAGTGATTGTCGACTAGGACTCCAAGGTCCCTCTCTGGAACGAAGGAAACGTCATATATATGCTTATTGCAAGTATGAACTCAGAATTAAAAGTCATTGAAAAGTCAGGCAGTATCTCTGGTGAAGAAGAATTGATTCCTTAGGTGGTATCTCTCCCCTTGGCTGATGGCTTGCATGTTCCTCCTCATGTCCGACTCCTTTGCTGTTGTTTGAACCCCAATTCTGGCCCTGCCCTCTGGGGTAGGAGTGAAGGAGCCCACTCTCTTCTCTGCATGCCTCTGCAGTTGCTGGAAGTGCTGAGCAAACCAGGGGAAGCAGCTCATGGGCCTGAATGCCACACCGTGCCTTTTGGGCCAGGGGACCAGGGGACGACTATCTGCTGAGGAATCACGGAAGGCCTGAGATGGGCAGGCAGACAGGCTCCCTCTCAGCTACCCACAAGAGACTGAAGTCTTGACTGTACTACCTGTACAGTACACTGTACTACCAAGGCTCTGGAATAAGAGCCTTGGTAGTACACTGGTCTAAGGCACCCTGTTATTAAGCTGGTTATTAAGACCAGCTGCCTGCAATTACTGCAGGTTCGAATCTCGCCAAGGCTCAAGGTCGACTCAGCCTTCCATCCTTTCTAAGGTAGGTAAATTGAGGACCCAGTTTGTGGGGGCAATAAGCTGACTTTGTATAAATATACAAAAGTATGAAGGCTATTGCTTAACGCATTGTAAGCCGCCCTGAGTCTCCGGAGAAGGGCGGCATATAAATCAAATTAAAAAAAAAAAAAAGTCAGGCAGCCTCGAGGGCTTCCCCTCTTCCCTCAATCCAGATTGCTGTCTTCAGCTCCAGGGAGGTGAAAGGCACCAGGGGCCCCAGCCCCAGCCCCAGCCCCCCCTTCCCTCCTCCTGCTTCTCCTTCTGCAGTGTGGCAGGACCTACTAGTCCTGCCACGCTCCATAGCTAGTCTATTCACTAGACTAGAGAAGGACCAGGGGAGACAGAATAGCAGCCTTCCAATATTTTGAGGGGTTGCCACAGAGACGAGGGGCTCAAGCTATTTTCCAAAGCACCTGAAGGTCAGACAAGGAGCAATGGATGGAAACTGAACAAGGAGAGATTCAACCTGGAAATAAGGAGGAATTTTCTGACAGTGAGAGCAATCAACCAGTGGAACAGAAGTGGAGGCTTTCAAGAAGAGACTGGGCTGCCATCTGTCAGAAATGGCGTAGGGTCTCCTGCTTGGACAGGGGGTTGGACTAGATGACCTACAAGGCCCCTTCCAACTCTGTTGATCTGTAGAATCTGTACTAATGCAGAGCCTGAATGCTTCCTCAGCTGCCCTGACCCTCTCCCACAAAGCACCGTCCCCCAGATGCCCTATTGGGCCGCTTGGCTCTGCGATCTCTGCTGGAGCTCTGGGCCGACTCGCTACTCACCAGCTCGGAGCAGGATCACCTGGTCGTCCAGTGGGAGCTCTGAGAAATGGGGAATCCGCTTGGCCCACTCCACCAGGGTGAACAGCTGCTTGTCTGCTGCTTGGCAGATGTTGGTGACCGGGTCATTGGGCTGCCAAGAGAAGAGACCCCGCGTTGGGCGTCAGAGGGCCAAGGCCCTGCCACTCTCACCATCCCCTGCAGGTGCCCTCCTTAGCCCACCCCCCACAACCTCTCCTGCCCTGCTTGCACCGAAGAGGGCAGTTGGCAATCTCTTCTGCCCCTGAAATACAAGGAGGGAGGTTTGGAAACCTGGATTCTGCGAAGGGGCTGACTCCTAATCTTCCTTGGCTGCCACCACTTTTTGCCTGAGGGGGCATCTATTCTCCCCGCCCCCCAAGTACAGTCAGGGTGTCTTGGGAAGAGGGCCCTGGGAGAGGTGAGATGCCCACAAGATAGTTCTTGCCAGCCCTTTGTCTGCCATTTCTCTCACCTCAATCCTTTCAGCTCTTGCAAGGACATTAAGGAAAGCCTTGATAGTACAGTGATTTAATGCACCCTGTAATTAACACAACTGCCTGCAATTTCTGCAGGTTCGAATCTTACCAGGCTCAAGGTCGACTCAGCCTTCCATCCTTTCTAAGGTAGGTTAAATGAGGACCCAGTTTGTGGGGGCAATAAGATGACTTTGTATAAATATACAAAAGGATGAAGGCTATTGCTTAATGCACTGTAAGCCGCTCTGAGTCTCCGGAGAAGGGCGGCATATAAATCAAATTTTAAAAAAAAGTCTCCCCCTCCCTCATGCAGCCTGGCCTCCCGAAGGAGGGAGCAATGGAGGTCCGAGGGGAGGGGAGGGGAGGGGAGGGGAGGCAGGAGTCCAGAGCTGAAGTGGACTCTACCTTCCATCTGCTTCCAGGGCTGCAGCGTCATTCCCGTGTGCAGAGGGGCTCGGGGGGGGGGGGGCTGCTCTGAAGCCAGGCAGATGCCCCTGGGGAGCAAGTCTGCATCTGAGGGGCTGGGAGTCAGAGAGAAGGCAGCAAAGCCAGAAGGAAATGTACGTGTGTGTGTGTGTGTGTGTGTGTGTGTGTGTGTGAGAGAGAGAGAGAGAGAGAGAGAGAGAAGAATGTGCAGCTCTGACAGAGGAACATCTCTACCTCAAAAAAAAAACCCTTTGGGGAAGTTCCTGGATGCCAGGATTGACGGCTGTGACACCCAACCCCAACAGGAGGTCTTCAGTGGGCAAACTCACAAGGCTCCACGCTTAAGGCCCCCCTCAGTTCCTCCTCTTCCTAAGCCATTGGGCAAAGAGGGCCCACTTCCCTGCCCTTCCTCTGCTCATTCCTCAGCCAGAGAGTCCCCCAAAGCCCCTTGCAAGGCAGCCCCCCATCTCAGCTAACCAGGCATGCCAAGACTCCCAAGGCCAGACTCTTCAGCCAGGTTGCCCACAGCACTTCCAGACAGAGGTGATGCCGTCAGGGGGGAACCCAGAGAACTCCCACCCTACCAGTGGGCCTCTACCCAAGCTGGGGGGGTCTCCAGCTGCACCCTTCTCACTCCTTGTCCTCTAGGGTCTCTGAGGCCTCTCGCTCCAGCCAGCTCTACCAGGCCAGAGATATCCACAGCTCTGGAGCCATTGGGGAGGAACCCACCAGGCCCCCAGCAAGCCTCGGCACCAGGAGACCCCTTCACAAGGCGGCTGCTCAGGGGAAACAAGTCCTTCTCCTGGGTACACAAAAACAAGGGCAGCCCCAGCCTCAGCACCTCCTTGCGTGCAAAGAACCCGGCCCTTCTCGGCACACACCCACACACACCCACACACCCACCCCCTCCTCAGGCACTGCTTGACCGAGGAGCACCCCGGGCTGAGCACCATGCCTAGCTGCCCGCAGGTTGTGGGTGCCACCCCTGTGGCTTTCCTCCCAGCCAGGCAGATGCCCGAACCTGGCCAGGGTCCGCCTCCAAGGAGAAGCTGCTGCTTGCTCTGCTCCCTGGCCTTGCTCATCTCCCCTGGGGATTTTGAGCCCAGGCAGCCAGAGGGAAGCAGCCGCTTTTGTGCCTTGCCAAGAGTCCTGGCTGGCCCAAGAAAGGCCCAGGCAGACTGGCAGTGGGACAAGTTCCCTTGGCAGGATTGGCAGAGAATCTGCGGACCACAGAAAGCACTTCCTCCCCTACAACTCCTTTCTCACCCCAGAGAAACAATGAGAAGGAGAAATGGGGGGAATTCTGCTGAATTCTCAGGGATGGAGTTGCTGGGGGTGGGGGTGGGTAGCATGTCTTGGGTGGTCCCAGCCTCCCTCTGGCCACTCTCTCGCTTCCTGGCTTCTTGCCCTCCATCCTGGGCAAACTGCCCCACCTGAAGCGCTACCGATGCTCGGGGGAGGTGGGGTCCTGCCTGCAGGGTCCCTCTAGCCCTGGAGAAATTTGGACCAGGCACCTTCAGGTTTGCTGCCTTGAGTGGGTTGTAGAAAGGCTGTTTGTGTTTCCTGGAGACCCTGGAAACTCATTCTCAAACTCTGGAGAGATTCTCTACAGTCATCCGGGTCATGGTTGTCCTAAAAATGCTTTTTCTAGAGGCAACTGGGCTTTCTTGTTTTTTCTTTTGAAAAGGATGCGAATGACCAGCTCTCTGCAAGGAATATAAATCTTTTCATTATCCACCATTCAGTCAGAGCTGAAGAAGCTTCTTGGATGAGAAGCGACACGTCTTCAAAGAAAAAACAAGGAAGACCAGTTGCCTCCTGAACAAAGCACCCTTGGGGCACTCATTCTCAAACGCTCCTCTTCTCTGATGGGACTGGAAGAAAATGGCTGAACCGTCCGGGCCACCCGAAAAGGGAAGGCAGAGGAGAGCTGCAGCTATCAAAGGCCTCGTGGAAGGACAACTTTTCCAGCAGGGCCTGGAGCCCTTGAGCCAAGAGTTCCTGCCTGGGGGCCTTGAGGGAGGCTGGGCGGGCCACTCGCTTACCGAATTAGGAGTCAGGCCCATGTTGGCTTCGATGTAGGTCTCTGTCTTGGGCTCCACCGCCAGTTCAGCTTCTAGAATCTTCTCCACCGGCATGTCCTCGTTTGCACTGCTGGTGGACTCAACCTCGTTCTCGTTGCGGTCTTTGCCTCGTTGCCGCTCCTCCTGGACAGCTGGAAGGGTCAAGAAAGGGGGGAGGTGTCAGTCGGACAGCTTTGGATGCCGAAAGCTTTCAGGGCAGGGGGCTTGGAATTGAGGTGGGCCACTGATGATCTACGGGTGTGGGCAGCAATGTACGGTACTAGTAGTCCTCATTTAGTGACACAATTGGGACCGGCAACTCAGTCATTAAGCAAAGCAGCTGGCAAGTAAAAACATAGCTGCCGTGATTATGATCTTCCTTTCCTTAATTCAGCTTTACAGATTTGTAAAGGTCGTAAATGGGAGGACTGGTCATAAAAGTTATTTTTTTTTATCCATATGGTAACCACAAGTGGTTGCTGAATGAAGCAGTCACTAAGCGAGGACTACTTGGTCTCTTCTTTTTGTTTGGGGGGGGGGAAGGGATGAAAAGGGATAAAATTGATTATCTTGGGGCTTTGGGGTTTAAGGGAAATCACAGCCTTAAGAACCTTTTGCCAGCCCAAACTGAGCTCATTTTCCCTGGGCGGGAGGTTGGTTCTAAGTGGGACTTTGACCCACTGGGGGTCACCTGCCCATTTCACCCAGAAGCTCCCTCCGGACACAACTCGGCTGGGCTGAAAGACCCTCGTGGCCCTCAGGCAGGACATAAAGACAAAACGTAAAGACCCCCCCCCCCAACCAGAGAACTGCCCTCCCATTTTGCAGAATGGCACGGAGTCACCCAGAGGCAGGACCTGCCTCTCCTGGGCAAAGGTCGGGTTGGCCTGCAGTTCTGGGCTTCGGGGAGCCCTGACTTTGTCGAGCACGTTGCTCAGGGCTAGCAGGCTGTGAGAAGCCCAGGCCTGGACTGCTTTGACCCTTGCAGGGGGCTCAGCCTCAGGACCCGTCTGAGAACGGTTCAAAGCATCGTGGAGCTGTGGCGTGTTTCCATTCGGAATGAGTGGGTTTGTTCCTGATGGAGGAGGAGACGCCCACCCACCCTCAGGAGGCGGTGAAGGCGGAAGCAACTGGTGGGAGGTTTGCCCTGGCTGAGCTCCTGCCTTTTGGCTGTCACTTTAGCTCATTCAAATATACAGTCACAGACCAAACATGCTGGAGCCCTGCGGTACATTACACAGCAGCCAATAAAACCTATTCAGCCATACACGAGACACAAGCGGGGAAACAATTAGCTCCAGAGATTTCTAACTGCCTTGGCAATGGTGCAAAATGTGGCTACTGTACAACTCTAAAGACTTGTTGAACTTGGTGGTTTAGTTGGTAGCTCACAATTGCCCTGCAAGAGGGGTCTGAACAGCTGTCCTTAGAGGGGCAATTAATTAACCCACCAAGCGCCTTCTTTTCAAGGAGACCGGGTCCCTTCCGGGCTTGGCCAATGGCTCCCTAAGAGATCCGAGGAGGGCTACTTCCCACATCACCTGGAGCCCTCCTATACACACACGGATGCAGCCGAAACACAGCTGGCCTTCAGATGGACCCCTCCTCTTCTCAGTAACCCTAAGGCAAGCCACCGTTCTTCGCTTTATCCTCTGCCACCCTGACTCTGCCCCCTCCCCAAATTACTGAATCAATGTAGCCAAGGGTGGACTTGACTAAATTTGGTTCCTTTGTGCCAAGTCACTTACTGAGGCTTATTTGGGTATTCTTCTTCTGGCATTTGCTGGCATGGCCAGAATCTGGAACTGGATGGCAGACTGACAGCCTGGTGAGAAACGGGATATAATTTCCCCTTCCTGGAATTACTCCTTTTCTTTAAAGGGTCAGCAGGGAGGGGGACTAACACCTGACAACTTGGCAGGTGTTGACCAGGCTTCGGACCTTGGCTCATGCAGGGCAAATGCGCCGTGGGGCTGCTCAGCCACACTTAGCCAGCTCTGCAGTCCCAATGGGCAAAAACGCCCCTCTAGGGCAGAGGCCCAGAGCCCTCCATGCACACCCATGGGGAGGGCATCTCCAGGCCTCAGCACTTGAGAGATTGGGAGGTGGGAGGAGGTAGGGGGTCCCAATCTGAAGAATGCCCAGGCATTCATTCTGCTGCAGGGAAGCCCAGTGCAACACCATAAGATCTGTTCTTTCACTTTGCTTTTCGCTTGCTGTGCTTGTGTTAAGGTATCCACCTCTCTCTAAAGCAGATTACAAAACCCCAATGGCCAGTTTCAGGGCGAAAAGACAGCACTTTCCCCTCCTTCTGTTTTCAGCCACCATCCGACAAAGAAAAATACAAACTGCCTCTCTGTTTGCTGCAGGGCCCTGCACTGAATTGGCCAAGCTTTGCATCAACCCAAATTTGCTGCCCACTCTTGCATTGCAGCCAGTGGCCTTTTTTGGTGCCCCCCATTCCTTGATGGCCCTCCCCTCCTTCTGAGTGGCCCACCGTTTCCTTTGTGGGACCTCCGTGTGTGACGCTCACTGCTGAGACACAAAGAAGACACAAAGCCCAGCCCAGAACTTCACACCTGCCCTAGTCTTTGGGGAACTGCTGCCGGGGACGCTGCTGCCAATGGGTCACCCAGTGGCCTGCCCGCCCACCACAACCTCCCTTGCCACACGCAGCCCTCCCAGGACGCCAAGGAAGAAAGCCTTCAGCAGAAATGAAGAGGAGAGGAGGCCGCCCACCACCTGTTCCCACCACCACTCTAACACTGAGCTACACTGCCTTTGCACGTGGAGGCTTTAGTTAAGGCCAGACCCACAGAACACCTGCCTGTTTATTCTCAAGAACTGCAGGCCCACACCTCTCCGGTTAACGGTGTGAATGCAACCATCTCTAATGTGCCATTTCTCAAATCCTTGGAGATGCCACAGAACGGTTCATGGTTTAATAAAAGGACCTGTGAAGTACTGAGTTTGTTGCAGCTTCTTGGGCATCGCAAGGCAGAGTTTGGAAAGTGCTAAGGACCCCATGAACCAAGAAAGTCTGCCCGAATCCTCCCACTTCAGCTGCCTGTTGCGTTAGCAATGCAAGAAAGGATCCTCCACCCAGCATCTGCCTTGGAAGAAATGGCCAGGGTGGTTTCATAATGCAGATTCTGAGCCACAGACACTCACTGTCCTCAGACTGCTGCCTTGAGTCGCTTTGATTGTCTCGAGGGCATTAAAAGCTTGCATGGTACATTGCGGAACTGGCCCTGCAGAGAGCCACATTCCAGCCCACCACAAGCCACAGAAATCTCTCGCTCCCTTGTGGCCCTGCTGCGTCCCTTCCCTGGGCAGGGCAATCTGCACTGAAGGTTTGTCTCATCTTTTGCCCTGCAGCTCCTCTGGGATTTGGCCCTCCATCCAGGGAGTCTCTCCGGTACATATATATGTGTATATATATATACACCATAATATATTTCCTTTCTCCCTTTCTCGCCAGAGAAGCTGCCCCTGCAGAGTGAGAAGGACTCGGCCGATTCTGGGAGGACTCAGCCTCTCCAGGTCACCCTCTGGGGACACCAAGAGATTTTTTGCTGCTTAACAGCTGGTCTAGTAAGATTGAAATGGGAGTACCTGGTTGCTCCTGCCTTCCAGGGAGTCTTGTGGGTCGGGATGGATGGTGCTCCATCCCTGCAATAGAGTAGAGATTTGGAAATGAAACATCATTAGAAGAGAGGCAGCAGCTGCTGCGGTGCATGTCCCAGTCATTAAATTGCTGCTGCTCTTGACTGTGGCAGCACCACCCAAATACATGGCCCTTGTACATTTTCCCAGGGAGAAAGTCAGAGGGGGGGGGGCGGGGGTGGTTGTGGGGGCGCTCTGTTCCTGGCCCAGTTTATTTAAGGTGTCCTTCTTCCTTACCCCTCTCAGGTGAAATGTTGGTGGCCACAGGGCAACTGGTCCTCTCAAGCCCCCTTTTCTGTCTCTCTGCCCCATCTACAGGCAGGCCTTTGCTGGTCGGGGGGCAGGGGAGGAATGAGAAGAAGCAGGAGGGGGCTCCTTTTCTCCTAAGCTGCTAGAACATCTCCTTTTAATGGCCCTATAACCCCTTGCAATGGGGTGGAGTCAGGGCAACCGAATGGAGCTGAGTGTTTACTGGCCGAATGTCTTTCCTGTCACCAATGCAGAGTTTTTGTTCAGCAGATATATTCTCATTGCGCCCAGAAAGAGGAATATCTGACTCAACCTAGGATCGAACTCACAGCCTCCTGAATGTGAGGCGAGAGCTCCCTCTCTAGGCACCACACTCCTAAGCTGCTGGGATTCAGGAAGGAAAATGAAGAGCAGGCATTATTGGCCACTTCTTCCCATCAGAGCAGTCACAGCCTCGGCCTTCCTTTAAACAGAGAGTAAGTCTGAGTGGCTCTGGTGGCGCAGTGGTCAGAATGCAGTATTGCAGGCTGACTCTGCCCATAGCCAAGAGTTTGATCCTGACTGGCTCAGGATTGACTCAGCCTTCCATCCTTCTGAATGAGGTAAAACGAGGACCCAGACTGTTGTGGGCAATAGGCTGACTCTGTAAACCGCTGAGAGAGGGCTGCAAAGCACTGTGAAGCGGTATATAAGTCTAAGTGCTATTGCTATCTTGTTCCCTGGTGAATCTTTCAGGGAGCCTGCTGGGCTGAAGAGAGGCTGCAAACACATTCAAGGAATGCTGGTGGTTTCTGGGCTTAGCCTTTCTTAGGATGGGATGGGGGAAGGGGCTAAGCGTCTCTGGCCATGGCCCTCTGCCCCTCCCAAGCCCAAAGGAGTCATCCCTGGGAAAACGAGGTGGGCATCCAAGCTCTGTGCTGGGGCAGGATAATTCCCAGGGGAAGCCTGGGGATCTCCAATACGCTGTCCTAGTTTCAGATCGAATAAAACTCATTTTTCCAGAATAGGGGCCAGTTTGGGCCCAGCCAAAGAAAGGAACACGGCAGATGGATGGCCTTTGCCAGCCCTGCCTCAGCTGGGACTCCCTCCCATCAGGTTCCCAGAGTTTATGGCAGATTGAAAGAGCCACTCAGAAGCCCAGCAGCACAGCTTTGAGGTGGCATCCGACAGCCTTCACGTCTGGCGGGAGACTTCTGCCGCCCCCAAGAGGGCAGCATATGGCAAAAAGAGAGCCCCACCCCACATCCCATCCCAGAATTTCTTCTCATGGTGCAAAACATGCCATGGATCATGTCAGGCTCATTCTTAGAACATGAACACGCTCTTATTTCTGTATGCCAGGTGGGTGTATCTCGGCAGCCTGCTTGCCTGCTTTTAAAATCAGGCCGATTCTCGTTCTTTCCGAGTTCTCAGATTGAGTAACAGCCTCTCTGTGGATTCTCTGTTTCACAAATGTCTGCCACATGCAAGCCACAACCATTTCCTGGCCTCGGAACGCGCATGACTCTCCTCTCGCTGTTCACACACACATTCCAGAGGAGAAGGATCGGCAACCCCAGCTCAGCTCCAGATCTTTCTGCAAATGGACTTCGTCGATTAGGTTTCTCTACTGATAAAAATATTTAACGCTTTGGGGGTTGTTTCTTCTGAGAAAGGCTCTGATAGCTTATCAAGATCGGAAATTGTATACTATGGAAACTAAGAAATTTTCTGCCTGGCTAAAAATCTATCCTCGAATCAAGAGGGGACTTTTTTTCTGCTATTTTCTCAGTGTTGTTCAGCCTTTGCTGTATCCAACGCAGGTAGTCCTCAACTCACCACTACAAATTTACTTACTGTCTGCAGCTACAAGAGCCTCAAGAACTGGTGGTTTATGGCCCAAAAGCACTCTGGTCATTGTAAAACATCACATGAATTTATTTCGAGTGCTTGGCAAACTATTCTGATTTACAACACAAGCGCCCTGCCACCAATCGCCTGATGGCCATTTGCAGTTTTCTCTGCCGGCTTCCCCAGAAAATCCATGAAGAAGCCAGCAGGAAAAGTTGCAAGCAGAGAGGAGGTTTGGATTGGAGGTCTGTTGTTGCAGCGCAAGGAAGGATTTCCCCTCTGCTCCATGCAGGGAGAGAAAACCCTCCCGTGCACTGAGGGAACCGGCCTCGAATCTGGTCTCAATGCTGGTAAATGCCATCCTCAGAACGTTGGCATTTGCTGCGTTTTCCCCACTTAAACAGGCAGAAATGTTGGCACTCGCTAGAGTTTTCCCCTTTGGGATGGAAAAAGCTAGCAAGCGGCAGCCTTCTCAAAGGCTGTTGGCATTCATGAGCGCTTTTCTCATTGGCAGGGACAATGCTAGCCAATGCCACTATTCTGAGCCTTCCGGAACGATGGCATTCGCTAGCATTTTTGCCAGATTTGAGGTCCGTTTCCCCAGTTTGCCAGGGGATTTGTCACACTCTTCTGGAGCCCCTCCAGGCCTCTCCACCGAGGGCTGATCGTGCTGGGTCCTGGGCTCCTTCTTCCCTGGTCACCCCTTGGTGCAGAAACCAGAGACAGGAAAGCTGCCAAGGAAGGGCAGAAGAAGGGAGCGACGGCTTCGAAACCTAGTGGCCAGAAGCAACGGCAGTTCTCAGATGTTATTAAGGCGAGCAAGAGGAGCTTCTGAGATACGTTGAGCTCAGAAGGAAAAGAATCGGTGCATCAGATACTCAGGGAAGGCAGCCAAAGAACAACAGAAAACAAGCAGAAGCCCTCTGCTCCAGGCCTCCTCTGGGGAGTGGATAAGTGGTCCCCTGGGAAATTAGGAAGGGCGGGTGGAAGGAACAGGATCCCAGCTGGGGCATCTCAGGAACCCGAGCAGGGAGTGTCTCTTGACCTCAAATGAGTTCAGATCTCCAGGGCTCAAGACAGAGTACAGAACAGCCGAGCCAAATTTATATGCAATTTCTGGAAGCCCCACAGAGCATAAAGCATCCTAGAGGGGAGCCCCTCTTCCCATCCAGCCACAGAATCTGGAGAACCGCAAACCATCACCTGGCCTCAACACTGGAGTTTGGAGGACAGCAGCAGCGAGGATGATGGGAACCGGAAAGCAAGAAGAGAAGGGAGTGGAATTTGTTTCACCTGCAGGAAAGGTGACTTAAGGGGGAGGTAGCACTTTTGACTGTGGCCAGTGGTGGAGCTGCACAGGCACAATCGTGGCATCGCTACCTCTTCTGTGGAGCCACGTGATTTCTGTGGAGTTTTTGAGCAGCTGACCATGTCTTTTGTGATTCTGGCTGATGCTCAGGTGGCATCGGAGCCCAACTGTGAGCAACCTGGGTGCTACTTCACACAGTTTGGGCTGGGACCGATTCCTATGGAGCCCATCGCAAAATCCAACAATGGAGAAGCTTCTGGAATCTGTTTGTGCCACTGCCCATAGGCTGGATCCCTGCCTGCATTGGCTTCTAAGGCCGTTTAAAGGCTTTGCCCACAACCAGAGGAGCATTAATGTTCTCGGCAGCCCTTGTCAGAGTTTCCTGCCCCCTTAAAAAGGCAACAATGCCCCAATTCAAACAGGCCCCAGACCCCACACTTAGCCAAGCTGGTGGAGAAGGCCATAGAAATTCCCCCTTTTCAACCTGGACCTAGGCCTGAATATGGCCCAGGTGGGGTCACACCACCCCTGCAGAGTGCCAGCTGGCAGCCTGGGGCATCTCCTGGGGCATCTCCTAGCTGGATCCTGGCCGGGTGCCAAGAGAGCCGTGAGCAGCATTGGCTGAGAAACCACCTGGCTCCCACCTGGAGGAGAAAGACCCAGTTTTGGCGACTAGGGCACCAGCCATCAAAAGACGCTCAGCCCTCCTGCCCAACTGGCTGAGGCATCTGGCAGGTCCTCTTGTGCCTACAGCCGTCCTTCTCTGGTGACTTCCACTCTCCCTGGGCAGCCTCTTTGCTAGCAGTGGGGAGGATGCTCAGGGCACAGCCATTTATCCAAGCCTCTTAATTATGTAACATTTAAGTGATTTAAAACCCAGAGCATTATTGTTTTAAACTTTGCTGTCATTTTACCTCTGATGTTCTAATTAGATAGCTGCAAGCACCCTGAGCCATTAAAAGAAGTTGGTGGCTAACCACCGCTTAAACAATTCATTAAAATAAACCCCAGAAGGTCTGTCAATCAAGGGAAGGTCAAGACCTCTTATCCCCCCCCATCCTGAGTGGCAGGCAAGGAAAGCTTTCAAAGGGCAAGGGCCGCCTGGCTGCCTGGCAGAGACCCCAGGAGGGTGGGCTCAGAGGGAGCTGGCAGCCATCAGTGTGTATTGAGGGGGGGGCACCCGAGATTGCATTCCTTCCCCGGAAGACGTGGGGCACTGCATGGCCCCAAGGCTGAGCCCAAGGCTGGAAGTGCTGATCTGAACCCCACCAGGCAGGGCCCTTCCTCTGCACCTCCTTCCAAACAAGGGGGGAGGAGGAGGCAAGGGACCCCCCCCAACCTCCCACCTCTTCATAGGGCCATTATCATCACACACTCACACCCACCGAAACACAAACAAGTTTTGTTTTTGAACAATTGGCTGACTTTTGTATTTACCATTGTTTCTACTTCTTGTGAGGCGTCCTTCTTAACCCGGAAAAGAGGAAATGAAAAATTGCTCTCCAGAATAGCTTGCTTACCAGACAGATCTATTTTCCTGAGTCTGATGCAGGTAAGGAAGGGTGCTACCCAGATGGAACCTCCACTTTCAGAGTTAGACTATCTTGAAGAGGAGTTGCCAGAAAACAGCAGGGGCATTTCTGTCCTATCCTGCCTGGGATGTCTCTTGTTTCTGGGGTCCTTGGTCCAGAAGTGAAGCCAGCCTGCACCCCAAGTCCACCTGCAGATGATCGGCCCGCACCCCCAAGGGAGGGACCGCCAGGGCTTACCAGCAGAAGCTGCCCCTGCATCCCCACAAGCAGCCTGAGCAGCTGTCCCAAAGGCAGGCAGGGTTCCCAGAGGAGCCCTCTCGCCCCAATTCCACTTTTCTCTTGGGGTTCACTCCCATTTTGTGGACCTGTTGTGCTGAGCACCTTCCACAGAGCCAGCCACAGGGCAGAGCTCGCTAAAAAAGGAAAGCTAGATAGAGAGCAAACCCCACTCACTCCCTTCTAGCACTGATGATGTTGCCTAGTTGGGTCACGAAATGTCTGTAAGAAAACAGCCAAGCTCAGAGAGCACCAAGGACCCTGACTAGGCTAAGCCTGACTAGGTGGCTCAGTGGCTAAGACACTAAGCTTGTAGATCAGAAAGGTCGGCAGTTCGAATCCCTAGTACAGGTGTCCTGCGTGAACAGGTGGTTGGACTAGATGACCTCCAAGGTCCCTTCCAACTCTGTTACTGTTGCTGACCCCCCCCCTACTCATCCTATTGGCAAACAGCCCTGTAGGACCTGCAGACATGCTTTGCTTTGTCCTGCAATGATCAGCAGGAATGGCCTGGAGGAACAGGAAGAGGAGCCAAGACAGGTAAAAGGAATCTGAGACCTGGCCTTCTGAGTGGGAGTGAAGGGGGAGGTTTGTAAGGGTCTGTTATTGTAACCTTATAATAAAAGTAGTATTAGCATGCATGACTTTGGTCCCCTAGTCTTGTCTACACCTGGCAGGTGCTAACTTGACACCCACACGCCCCGGTCTGAATGCTCCCCATGGGATTTCCCATCCCTGCACCCGGTCAGAAATTCTGGAAGTGGCCAGAGAGAGAGGAGGGATGTCCCATAGGGAAGGGGAAGCAGGCAAGGGCTGCAGGAAACCGGACCACCCTAAGCCCAGGAGATCGGCATGGCTGGGGTAAGAATGTGCCCACTGACTTGACTGCCAGCCTTCTTCTCAACCCAACCCAGACAAGGGAGCTGCTTCCTGCTTTCAAGGGCCTGAAGAGGAGAAAGGACAGTGCCAAAGTTCCAAAGCTATGAAACCCACTTCATCACAGTCTCAGGCAGACTATATTAAAAAAAACAAAAAACCCTAAGTGTCTAGTCCTTATGATCCCATCCGAGTATTTCAGACAGAATGGGAGGGACACCCAAAATACAGTCTCCTGTGGTTATGGGATGGACACTGATGCAAAATGAAACCATGGGAAAATGTAGAGTTGTGAGGAATAAAACAAGGGATGCGAATTGATTGGCATTAAGCTGCCAATGCTCCTGCTTAACAAAAACTCTGCTTACTCCTGGCCTCCTCTTTCCTGAGAGTGCGGGGCTCCCTCACTGTCCTGGGCCAAGCATTGCATTTCTCAGCCCGATCTGCGTGTTACTAAGAACGAAGTGGTGGGCCTGGACTCCCCTCCATCAAACCGCACTGGGATGAACCAGCTGCCAAGGACACCTCGCCTGGGAGGAGAGTGAGAAATTGCCCCGAGACGCACCAAATATCTAAGCGGTTCCCAAAACATTTGAGCAGCTTGCAACTGGACACCTGGACACTGGTAAAAGGGACAAAGGCGGAAGGGCCGTGGAAAGGGGAAAAGGTATAACCTTTCTGCGGTAATATTCAAATCTAGCCTTGCTTTCACTGCAACCACTAATCCATAGTCAAAGAACCTATCACTTCAACCAAATGGAGTCGAGGGTCTCTCTTGCCTAGGGATCTGAGTGGAGCAGGCCTGACATTTATATCAAACAGCACACAAACAAGGAACAAAGCAATGCCTAACAAAGGGGGAGGGCTGATTCTGCACTGTCAATGGATAAATGTGAAAATAATATCATTGTCCCATTGAGAGGAAGTTGGTCTAGATGACCTCCAAATCACCTTCTAGCACTTCCATTCTAGGATTCCTTGACCACCAGAAGGGACAGCCTTCACAATTATGACCACCCCCCTCCACGGTCCGATCTCGCCCGGCCTCACCTTCCCTCTTCATGCCCATCGCCAGGCACTTCTGGTAGCGGCAGTACTGGCACCGGTTCCGCTGGCGCTTGTCGATCAGGCAGTCCTTGTTGTCTCGGCAAGTGTAGGTCAGGTCCTTCCGCACCGTCCGCTTGAAGAAGCCTTTGCAGCCCTCGCAGCTGTACACCCCGTAGTGCTTGCCTGAGGTGGGGGGCAGAAGACAGACGGGGCTGGTGGGGAAGGAAGGAGGCCCCGCTCGGCACCCGGACCCAGTGAAAGGGGAGGCGGGACAGGCAGGGCAGGGCAAGTGGGGGGCTGCCTCCAAGAAACGTTTCACTTCAGCCTCTAGCTGGCCCTGTGGTGCAGGGATGGCAAGTGCCAGCCTTTTCCTTCGTCAGAGGAGCCCTCTCGCCACCCAGGGAGGCACTCGGTCAAAGGTTAAGGGGACAGGAGCAACGTCCACCCCAAGTGATGGCACCAGCCTCTCTGCCCCAGAATCTGGGGCGGGGGGTGGGGTGGGAAAGGGAGAGATTCAGCTGCTCAGCTTGGCGTCCCCGAGTCCTGCCAGGCAGGGGGAGCCCACCTGCTGTGTGCTTGGGGCCTTTTGTGACGGAGGAAGGAGAGCCCTGTTAGTCACACCCACTTGTGGGAAATGCCCTCCCTGCCAAGCGGGCAGCTGAAGACCAACTAGGAGCAGAGATCTGGACAGGGCAGTGATGCCAGCTGGAAAGAGTGCAAGGTTGGCATTACCTGAGGAGCGGTCTCCACAGATGGCGCAGATGTGCTTGGTGAAGGCGGGCATGGCAGAGGAAGGGTGCATTGGCACTTTGAGTACCCCATTGATGCCCAGGGGGGGCTTGATGTCTTCCGTGCTGCTCACGGGGTTCAGGGGGGAGTTGAGCTGGGAGGAAAGGGGGGGGCAAGAAAGGGAGGCTGCGGTTAGAAACCCAAAATCTCCTCAGGGCTCCTGTTCCAGTGCTGGGCAGGTTTGACCCCCCCCCTCCCCATTTCAGGAGCCAGTGGGCCAGCCTGAAAGACAGCCTCAACACACACACACAGAGTCCCTGGAGGAGTGACTTCTGAATGGGGAGGGGCATCCATTTCATTGTGAAGAGCTTTGCTCATGCAAATTGGGGAGGGGGGACGCTTCCTGCCAATTCTGCACTGACCCCATTCTTCATTTTCCTGATGTCCACACCAGCTGGCAACCTGAACCTTTTCAAGTGCTTTCTTCTAATCTAAGGCGTGTTTGCATCTCCACTTCCACTTTTTCCCAAGGAATTTTCCCAGATCTAAAGGGGTTGGTGAGCTTTTTTCACCACCCGGTTCTCTCTCGGAAAAAGCCGCCCTCAGCAGAATCTGCTCTCCTGGCTCCCGTGCCTGTTTGGGAAGTGAGAATCGGTTCCTTCCCGCCACAAAAGAGGAAGGGGATGCCTCGGCCTGCCAGACTAGGCTGGCCCCACGCGCCAGGCAGCCCCGCTCTGCCCAGCCTGAGGGGAGACCTCCTGACTGGGCTGGTCCCCTGCCAAAAGCCCAGGATCCTTCCCTCCCCCCATCACATGAAACCAACCCTGCAGACAAATTCAGCTAAAAGAGCTTGAAGATTTACCTCCTTTGAGCAGATTTGTATTAAATGTTCTTTATTTCTTTCAGCAACATGGATCGCAGTTCTATGAAAACACATTTCTGGATGTTTATTAGGCTTGTTCCCTTTCAGTCAAAATTCCCAAGACAGGTGGCCTGATCCTTCCTCCACAGGGCTCCCTTGCCCCATCCGTGCCCACCTCAGGCAACGGACTACCTGAAGGGCTCCACCATTAAATCCCAGAACCTTCTCGGGTTCCAGACCCAGGCTCCACACACACACACACACACACACACACACACACACACACCACTCCCCCGGCTGGCAGTGCAGACGGGGAGCTCCTGGCTGGGGGTCTGGGCTGGGTCCAGGAGCAGCTGCATGGCCTGGTGCTGGGACAGAAAGGCTGGGGTGGGGTGGGGGAGGCATAGCAGGAACTCTGAGGGGGATCCTGGAGTCTCAGTGGACAACCAATAAAATAGGAGCCAGCTGTGTGCGGCGGCAGCCAAAAAAGCCAACACAATCCTAAACTGCATTAACAGAGGGATACAATCAAGATCAAGGGAGTTACTAATGCCACTGTATAAAGTCCTAGTAAGACCACACCTAGAATCCTGCATCCAGTTTTGGTCACCACACTATAAAAAAGAGGTTGAGACTCTAGAAAAAGTGCAGAGAAGAGCAGCCAGGATGATTTGGGGACTGGAGCTTAAAACATACAATGAACGGTTGCAGGAACCAGGCCTGGCTAGTCTAGGGAAGAGGAGGACCAGGGGAGACAGGATAGCATCTTCCAGTACTTGAGGGGCTGCCACAGAGCGGAGGAAGGGGGGGTCAAGCTACTTTCCAAAGTTTTCAGAGCCAGCGGCTGTGTTTGTGTAGCAGCCAGGCTTGGTCAGCTGTGGTGACTTTGCACTCTGGGGAAAGAGACAGTGGACACAATGGCAGCAGGCAGTTCATCTTATGCAAACCCTCCGAGTCAACGAAGCCCAAATTGCCAAACTGGGTCAGATATGGGGGCACCTGCCACAAAAGCTCAGAAACCAGGAAAATTAAGTCAGAAATGGGCTCCCTCCCATCCTAAAATGGAGAGGCTGAATTAGGCAGAGATTGCTTCTAGCTGCAGCTTTCCCGCAGGGCTGGGGCTGAGCATGTGGCCCCAATCCAGCCTGTCGGGGGAGCATGCAGCGCAACCGTTGGCATAAAGTTAACCCACAGCCAGTCAGCTGCTGGCCCCCTCCTGCTCCTCCCAGCCCACCTTCGGCTCTCCTGAAAGGCAGGGCGAAGACCGCTGGAAGGCAGTTTCCGTGGTCTGGATCCGCTGGGAGACCCCAAATGCTCCTCACATCACCAGGTCAGCAAACGCAGAAAGGAAAGTGGGGTGCCCCATGGAAGTGCTGCTGTCCTTGCTCTTCTGGGGTGCTTCCACTGCAAGAGCCAAGCAGGAGCCTTGGCCCATCGGGGGAAACCAGAGGCCTGGAGATGAGCAGGCTCCAAAGAGGGAGATCTGGGGAGCTGCGTTGCCTTCTTTGCAAACAAGGTGGGGGGGGGGGCAATGTGCCTCCCTGGCTGCTGGGTGGCACCGAGGTGAGCGGGCCCCTTGTGGGCAGCAGTTCTTGGGAAGAGCCAAGAAGACATGGCTGCACTTCCTCCTGCAAAATCCCCCCCTCCCTCAGCTCAGCTGCCAGGGGCGAAGCCCAGCTCCCTTCCGCACTGTCTGGAGATCAGGAGTCCGGCAGGAAGAGGCGTCCAGCAGCAGCAGCTCTTTGGGCTTCCAAGGAACATTATCCAAGCAAGGGGAGTCTTGGTGTGCATCTTGATATGACTGGGAGGGACTGAGAAGCAGCTTTTCAAGTCTCACGAAAGAACCAAGATATTTCAAGACATTTTAGAAACAATACAGTGTTCTAAGATAATCATTAAAGCCCAAAGCAATTGCTTTATTAACCTTCAAATCCCCAGCATGTGTTTGTTATGCCTGCAACACAGAACCACGCTCTCCACTAAAACCAGGGTGGCCTCCCCACACTCTGCCTGCCTGTCCCAGGGAGCCTATAGGGTGAAGAGGACAAAGAGCTTCTGGCCTGAGGGGGACCCTGACCAGCGAGGAGATCCCGGCTCCCACCCTCCCTGTCACCACACAAAAGTTCCAAGGAAGGCCTTTCTGGGGAAGGGGTGAAGGGGGCTTGGGGGAGATGCTCTGGCACCGGCAGGGGGGGCTGTGTTTCTGCCCAATCTGCCCTGATGCTCCCTGGAGCAGCTGCTGACTCAGAGCCTCCGGAGGGGACACCCCCACAACCACGAGGGGTTCTCCTTTTGGCCCAGCCTGGCGCCACTTTGCTTCCTTCCTCCCCGCCAGGCGCCAGCAGCCTTCCTCTCCCACTCGGCAGTGCCAGGGTGCCCAGGGTGAGGACCCAGTGGGGGGTCTTAGTACCCATCCATCCCACCAGCATGGCTCACGCCGTGGAACTGGGCCACGGTGGCCTCCACTCCACTGCTGCTCACCACACAGCAGCCAAACCCCCAGACGTTGGGCATCCAGACTCAACTTGAGTGCACACACACAGAGGGAGACCAAAGGCAGGTTCTGGGTGAGCTTCCACTGCCAGCTGCTCTTTGTCTCAAGAAACCTCTCAGGGCCTCTTAGCGGAGCCTAAAATTCCCCCTGGTGAGGAAGGGCTAATCCTCCAGCACCCCTCTGCTCTTCCAGCAGCAAAACCTTTCTACCATCCCCTCCAGAAGAGAACCCAAGCAAAGATGGGGAGGACCCTTCCTGGGCCGTAGGGCTCTTCCACTCGGGGGCCCTGGCTCTTGTGGGGGTGTAGGACCCGTCTTTCCTCAAGGGAAACAGAAGGGCTTCCGGAGCAGCCAGGCTGCCAAACGGCTGCCCCGTCTGCCAGGGAAAGCCCTAGGAGGTTGCACTGCAGAGACCCTGCGCAGAGACCCCCACCCATTTCTAGGAAAGACCCTCTCCAGCACCCTGATGAAGCAGGAGGGGAGCTGGCAGAGTCCGCATCTCCAACAGGCATTTCCCTCTCAGGGTGAGGCTTTCAGGGACTGAGGCGCATGGGGTGTGGGGGACAGGCAGCCCACCCGCTGGGGAAGGCGGGGAGGGGGCTGGAAGCCAGAAAGATCTCCCTAGACAGACATTTTGGGGTTTCTGGTTTGGTCTCTTCAGGTGTCAACGGCACCCTGGCTCTGCCAGCAGCGCTTGAAGATTCCCCTCAGGGGGTCCTCAGATGGGCCCTTTCTGACTGGCTCCATTTCCTCTTCCACTCTTCCTTCTGTGTTTGGTGTGAACTGGAGGCCTCCAGCTGGCCCTCCTGAGGAGATGGTCCAAAAAGTAGCCCCTTCCCTGTCAGCAGCAGGGCAGGAAGAGGCGTCCCAGCAGGGCACCAAGGAGAGACCGTTGCCCACAGGGGCTCTCTAGCCAGGAGGGAGGAAGCAAAGAAGCCTCACAGGGAAAGGGAGCCCCAGGGGTGAAAGGCTCCCGGTTTGGACCAGATCGCCCGATCCGGTAGTAATGGAGGCGGGTGGTTCGGAGAACCGGTAGCAAAATCCTGCCCCCCCCCCCATTGCCCAGCTGAGCCGCATGATCATCAGAGGCTTTTCTTTAATTTTTAAAAGCATTTTTTCTACAACCTCTTTGGCCGAAAAAATGCTTTTAAAAGTTTTTTAAAAAAGCCTCTGATGATCGTGCGGCTTAGCTGGGATCATCAGAGGCTTTAAAAAAAAAAAGAAAGCCTCTGCCGATCAGGCAAGTCAGCTGGGATGGTCAGAGGCTTTAAAAGCATTTTTTTTACAACCTCTTCAGTAGAAAAAATGCTTTTAAAAGAAAAAAAAAGTTGGCCACGCCCACTCAGTCATATTCCCCTCCCACCATGCCACGCCCACAGAACCGGTAGTAAAAAAACTTACATTTCACCACTCGGTAGCCCCCTCCCACCCCTAGGCCCACTGATGCATGTCTCGCCCAAAGGGAACCAACGCTGGAGAGTTTCACAGTATGCAGAGGCCCAATATTTAGATGCATCCCTAAGGTGCAGGACGATTCTGGATGTATTTGTGCAGTAAAAGCCACGAACAGGACGCTGCGCCCCACAGACTGGTATCTCCAAGGCCAGTGCCAGTCAGTCTCGGTGTGCACTACTGGTATGTGCATCCTCTGGGCACTATCTGGTGTCCCTGAGCCTTGCCTGCTCCTGGCTCTTGTCAGAGGGAATTATCTGGAACTTGCTTGTAGAGCTGGGCACCCATTATTTTATTTATTTGTTTGTTTAAATGTATTGGCTGCCCAATTCCAGTAGATAATTAGCAAAAGGTATCTTGGATGTGGCACGATTCCCCTTGCTCGCTGGGAGAAGTGCAAAATTTTTTAGAAAGGAGAGGAAGCCTCTGTCTGGCCAGCAATGGGGGTGGGGTGGGGGGGATGGCAGCAAGGAAGGAGCCAGGAAGGCCGCCCCGATCCACCAGTTGGGAGGGCAAAGAGGGCAGGAGAGGAGTCAATGAAGGGAGCCACCAAGGTCGGTCCAACCCATCTGCTCCAAGCTTGAGCTTCTCACTCAAACAGGACAAGTGGGGAGCAGTGGTGCCCTTGGAGTGAGTGGGCAAAGGAAGGGGGCGGGGTGCTGGCTTGTCAATCAGCTCAAATTCCCCAGTTTTGCAGCCAAAGATTGGATGAGCTTTTTTTTTTTTTAGATAAATAAGCAATCCAGTCTTCAGACCTCCTACTAAACTGTAAGAGAGATGGCCCTAACCGCCACATCCAGAACAATGCACCATGTATTTAAAGCTGACTTTTGGCAGGTCTGAGCAACAATGCTGTTTAGATAGGCTGGAAACTGAACCGGAAGTCTCTGAAGAAAGCAGTCCAGAAGAAAAGAGACCCCTCAGTTAGCAAAAGTGGAACATTATTCTGCAAGATAATACTGGTTGCAAAGGGAAAAGATAACGGACAGAGACAGAGACAGCTGGCTGGGGAATTTTGGGAGTTGAAGTCCGCCAGGTTTAAAGTTGCCAAGGTTAGAGACTCCTGTTACAGACAACCACTTCCTTAGCCTAAAAAGGCACCAAAGGAAAGGACTCCCTGGGATTTTACTCCACTAGTCAGGATGGTGCTCACCTCCATTTCAGTGTTGTCCGAAGACATTTCCGTGGTCATGTGGCCAGCATGACATCACAGAACACTGTTACCTTCCCACCAAAATTTATGCAAACCTATTTATGTACTTCCTTTGCATGCTTTCAAACTGCTATGTTGGCAGGAGCTGGACCAAGGAACGGGAGGGGAGGTCTCCTTGTCACGATGTGGTGCTCGGGTCTTGAACCTGGGCTCCGGCTTTTCAGCGTCTTAACCACTGAGCCACTGTGTCGTTTTTAGCCTAAAAACAGGCCAGGAAATGCTTCCAAAAACATTTTCTAACACAGGGCACAGATTATGGGCACCAGTTCCATGGAAAATAGCAAGATGGTCCCAAATTGTACCATGTGATGAAACCCATTTAACCCCCCCCCCCACATCCGGGGGGAGGGAAGGGCCGTGGCAGGCCCCCTTCATCGTTCTCTGCATCTGAGAACTGCAGCTCCAACGAAGCGGCTGAAGTGGCTGGCAAGCAACTGGGCACCTCCCACCAGCGATGGGCACACACTTCATTGACTCGCAGCCTGGTAGGTCTGAGTGGGGGAGGGAGGGAGGGAGAGCCTCTCCCCTGGACAGGTGCCCGCTTCCATCTCCCCTCCCCTTTCCATGGTGGGTTCTGCTGGCGGAGGGCAGAGAGGAGAGGGAGGGCGGGGGAGTCAAGGAGGGGAGGGAAGAAAAAGGCAATGGGGTGGGAGTCTCTGGGTGCTGTCAAGATACGGGCAGTCCGGCCTCCCTCAACTGGTTCATTTTCAGTCTTTGCATTGCAGAACCAGGTCTGAGGATGGGCTGAAGGCAAAGCCTTTCCCGGGAAAGGGAAGGGGGATGGAAGCAGCCCCCTCCCCCCTCCCAGCTGGTGAGCAGGGGGGTCTGACCACCCAGGGCGAGGGGGACACCCCTGATGGGCAACGCTCTCACGCCTGACCTCACAGACTCAAGCTGAACTGGAGCCCCCGGGGAGCCCCCAGGCTTCCTGCTCCCCCCCTCAATGTGACCCTGGGGAGGAACTCCTGCATCCCATTCAGCTTCTCCTCTTGGAAAGGGGACAGCCAATCGTTGGGCTTTTCTGGCCCCCAGCCATTGGCTGAACTCCTGTGATGTCACAGCAAGCTCAGGAGCTCCCCAAGCCAGGCACATTGCCCCATCACACAACAGCACTCCATTAAAAGCCCCCGCCCGCCCCGTCTGGATGCACCAGGCCACTTTTTCAGGGGGCTTAAGGAACTTTCTCCTTCTTGAGCCACAGTAATCTTAAAAGGTGGACCAAGGTGGACGGTGGATTGAATGCAGCAAGCCCAAAAGTCACTCCTGCTCTCATTGCCATGCAGGCCACCTGGGAAAGCCTTCTGTGCATGCTCAGAAGCCACCTGCCCTCAACAACAGAGCCCTTTACAAACTGTGGGCTGAACCAGGCTGTGTGCAGGGTCGCCGGTGTCTGCCAGAGGCTCTGTGCTGGACCTTAGCAAACCAAACTTCTGGCGTTTTCTTTGTGATGCAGAAGCTGCAGGGGGGGGGGGGGGGGGTCCTGCATATACAGGTAACAGGAGCACCCCCCCCCCCCCCCCCGCCCTTTTTGGGCCCCCGTCCCCCAAAAGGGCAATTCAGGGGGGGAAGGGGGGGGGGGGGGGGGAGCTCCTTCAGAGCCTGTAGGGGCTCTCCCTCTAGAAAGGCACAGAAAATGGGGGGGGGGGAGGCAATGTAGGGCACAACTAGGTAACCTCCCCACAGCTCTCCAGCCTCCTTGCAGCAAACGGAGACCCCACTTGAAGGGAGATGGGCACTCAACCTGCAGGAAGCCGTTCTCTTGAGCCCCCTTGCCTCAGCCCAGGGCCACCCCTCTGCGACTCAGGCTGATCAGCAACGCCAAGCCTGGCTGGTGCCCAGGGCCTTGACAGCAGCCGGAAGCCATCAAGCAGCTGCAGGAACATTTGGGGGGGGTGGGGGAAACCAGGTCCCTCTGGCTTCCCCCACTGGGTTACCCCTCCCTTCCTTCCCTGGCTGGATGTGCAGGGGGCAGCCCAGCTACAGGGGCACCTGGCTTGGCTCTCACTCTTTTTATCCAGTCTTTGCAGGGTTTCTGCCCTGGAAAACTTCACCCCCGGGTCTGTCTAGCCAGCAGGGCCGGCTCCATCCCAGGGGAGGGAAGGGCAGCCCACGGGCCTTGGGCCCCTCTCTTGCTCAGGGAGAGGACGAGGGGCCTGATCCTGCACCAGCTGTTTCAAAGTGGGGAGGGGGAGGCCAAGGGGCTGCAGCTGGGGCATTTGGCAGGAGGCCTCCATTCACACAGCCTCGTTCATCGTCTCCCGCAAGAGCACATCTTCTGTGAAGCACAGCAGAGGGACCCACCCACCCTTGAAGCGGCACCTGCAGCAGAGGCCGCCAGGCAAGGAGGTCTTCTCTGCAGTGGGGTGCAGAAGCAGAGAGAGAGAGTGATGGTGCCAGATGGGTCAGGCTATAAATCCACCACCCCACACGATGTTCAACGTGGCACTTATGAGGAGAAGCCCTAGGAAGGACCCACAGCATGTCGTCCGGTGGGCAGCAATGGTACCTATTTATTCATATCCAATGAAAGGCACCTTCAGTTCTGTATGTTTTTCTAAGAACCTCCCAGTTACCTGCCCTGCAATTCTTAATATTTAATATATTCCTTAGGAAATCTAGACCAAAAAGACAGAAAGTGCCCGCCCCCCACCTGAGGTGGCAGATGCAACCTGGAGCAAAAGTGGAGTGGGAGGGCTAAGCAACTCCCCCTCCCCCATAGCCTTCAGAACAGACCCTCGGAAGAGACCCCTCCAAATCTCCCCTCGCCCCCCCCAACTCAGCCAGCCAGCCGGGCACTCACCTGTGGGCTGCCAGCTCCGTATCCGAGGCCGGGGGTGGACGGTCCAGACATGGCGTGAGGCCCCATCGGGGAGCTGATGACGGAGAAGGGTGGCCCCATGCCGTTGATGGGTGAATGGAGCTGGCTGGGCGATCCCAAGGAGCCCCCAAGGCTGGGCCCCATGGAAGGGTGGAGGGCAGGTGTGCCCATATGGCTGCCCCGGCCGGTCGGAGAACTTAAGGAGGTCGAATTCACTTGGGTGGAAAAATCTGTTGAGCAAAGAAAGGAAGCGAGTTGAGATGGGGGCATTTCCGAGGCTGCCACCTTCCGACCCCAAACATCCACCTTGCAAAACGGAAGGAAAGAAGAGTCCGGGGCATGTTAGAGAGGCATATTTTTAGAATGGTGGGTGGGGAGACGCTCAAGGCAGCAATGTGGGGCACAGAAGCATCGGAGGCCACAACAGGCTTCCTAATCAACCATGTCATGAGAAGCTCTTTCACTACAAGGCAGAGAAACTCTCCAGAGTTTTGTGTCAGTTGTGTGGCTGGAGTGCCCATTTTCTCTGGGAATTTCCACACTGAGACAATTGATAAACATCTCATGAGTTTCAGCCTTTGACCAGAATGGCTCAAAATGCCAGCTTGGTCACTTGGGCACCACTTCCTGATCTCTCTCTCTCCCCAGTTTCATTTTGAGAGATTTCTTGGCTGTGGGGCCCAATGCAGGAACAACCCCTGGAGTTCCACCAGCGTTTCCTGACCCTCGGCCCACCTGGGAAGCCCGAAAATGGCCCCCTGGTCATGGAGTGACGCCCAAAGCAGACTCCCAGCCGTCCCCATTCAGAGCCCTCCGGCCTCCCTCGGATTCAGACGAGCTCCGGCTGAATAGGGAGACGTGCATCTTGACGGGTGGGGGCTGATTCCCAAGGCCAGCCCCGCCCAACTAAAAGCTTCTGGGTGCCTTTCAGGGGTTCAAGACATCCAGTATATCGCCTCATCACCCCAACCAACACCCAGGGAGAAGGACCGGAGCCTGGGCATCTGGGGCTTGGAGGGGGAGTTCCCAGGGAGCTGGTTTGAGTCCACGGTCCAGGCTCAGGTGAAGGAACATGTGGGGCAGGGGTGGGGGTGGCGTCCACAGGCATAAAGAACACCTACCTACCCCAAGATGTGCCTGTAGATGCACTCACACAGACACAGAGACACACCACAATGGGGCCTGACATTTTGCCTGCTGAAGTTTGTTTTTGTGCTGATGGGCATCGGGGTGTGGGTGTGTGAGAGAGAGAGAGAGAGAGACTGGTGACCAAGGGGCAAGCCAGCCCTCTTGACTGTGACCCACATCAGCCCAGAGCAGGCAGTGATACTCCCCCCCCCACACCCACTGAGTGAGAGAGGAGGTGGGGAAACGGCTAAAATAGAGAGAGCACTTGAAGAACATCCCCTCCTGGCATAGGGGGACACGGGGCAGTGTGGCCACAATCCGCTGGGTCATCTCTGACCGGCTGCCAGAATCTCCCTCTGCAGCTGCAGAGACAACAGACTGAATGACCTATTTTAAAGCAGGGGGAAAGTCACTTTAACACAGACCTGAAGGCACATCAAAAATTCAGTATTTTAAAAGCCCGAATGCAGCAACCCAGCAAATCAGTTCTTGTGTGGGAAATGTCTTACTTTCTGCAGCCAACATTGTGCTGCGCAGCCTGTGACATTACCAAATGGAACGTTGTCATGCTGCCTTTCCAAAACTGTAAGTGGCTTGCTAAAACTAAGATCACATCAAACCACCCACCTGCAAACATTTTCCTAAAAACCCTTTGGGTGGGAGGGGAAGGACAGTCCAAATCAGGGTGTCCCCCCCCCTGCGCTCAGGTCAAGCCTTCAACTGCACCCAGAGCAAGGCTGCTCTTTGGGAGGCTGAGTGGCCAGCAGAACTAGGGCACAGAGGGTGGCAAGGGCCAGGGTGGCAGAGACCACTCTGGAACTCCCATTAAATTCCTTGTCACATCAACTGCAGCTCCACAAATGGGACGGTCAGCACTGGACTCTCACAGTACAGGCCTGGGTCACACCACTTACTTAATCAGGTGGGGGAAGAAGGCACAGTGTGTTGTGAAATGCACCACCCCTGCCAGTACCCTGTTGCCTAAACAGCCTGCCTTGCCCTCCTGCCCACCAGGCACATTTAATGAGGACAAACCCACTGACGGGGGGAGGGGGTGGAGAGGGAGCATCACCAAGCACTGCCCAGTCAGTCCTCAGAAAACAAGGCCAAGTTGCAAAGCAGCTGAGAATGCCAACCTCCCTGCCAGACCTGGCACTCGAAGTTTCTTGACTGTCCACCCCAACAGTCCTGCTGCCTGCCTGGCCAGAGGGAGGGGGTACTGATCAAGGGAGCCTTGCCATCCTCCCCCGGGCAAGGATAACACAGTGGTGGGCCAGGGGGCTGCCGATCCAGCATTAAGAGCAGAAGCCACCTGGGTTAAGCAGGGTTAACCCTGAACCCACAACTTTATAGTTCTGGCGGCGGTGGCTGCTGCTGCTTGCAGCTGGCCCGTTTTGGCTCCCGTGTCACAGCCCCCATGTGCTGCCACCCTCCAGACCAACGGCCATGGCATGCTATTCAGCAAGCCAGAGGGCTGCCCACAGCTGTGCCTGCCCCATTCATGGCGAGGTCTCCCGCTCCTTGCGGTGGTTAAATCCCCCTTCGAAGGCCAGGCATTTGGAGTGTTTGTTGTGCCTCTGCAGGAGTTTTTGCTCCTCCTATTTCCAAGTTCAGGAACTAGTGTGGGAACTCTTCTTTGATAGCATCTCTCCTCTTTTTGAAAAGTATAAACATATTTTTCAGCTGTGTAAAGGAAGGGCTTCTCTAATTTTAGTAGAGGAAAGTTTAGCAAAAACTTGAAAAACCTAGGAACATACTAATTGGTGTGAGCAGGTCAACTCCAGGTGTTTTGCGGAAATGAGGAGCTGAAATGAGGAGGAATTTGCATCTCTTGTGTTCTGCCCTTGTTAATTATTGTGTTTGTGCTCTAGTGCCATGTTCTCATTTTAATGTTTCTTCTGCATTTTTAAAGTTTATGGTTTATTTTTCTGTGTGCCACCCAGAGAATTGCTCTAAAAATAGCAGTTTCTCTTATAAGCAAGTGGCATTGGGAGACTTCCAGGGGTTTACCGACAAGAAGGCTGAGCAATGGGAAAAGCCCCATGACCATTCAGCACTCTAATCTTTTTCCAAAGCCAACTGGGAAGACCTTGGCTGAAAAGCCAGATGTTTGCCTCTGCCTGGAACTGTGGAAAGTTGGTGAGGCTGAGCCTCCTGCTCAAGAGAAGTCACCACACTATAAAAAAGAGGTTGAGACCCTAGAAAGAGTGCAGAGAAGAGCAACCAGGATGATTAGGGGACCGGAGGCTAAAACATACGATGAACGGTTGCAGTGAAGAGAAGGACCAGGGGAGACATGATAGCATCTTCCAATATTTGAGGGGCTGCTACTGAGAGGAGGAAGTCAAACTATTCTCCAAAACACCCGAAGGCCAGACAAGGAATAATGGATGGAAACTGAACAAAGAGAGATTCAACCTAGAAATGAGGAGAAATTTTCTGACAATGAGAGCAATCAACCCATAGAATAGAAATTGCCTTCAGAAGTTGTGGGAACTTCATCCCTGGAAGCTTTCAAGAAGAGACTAGGCTGCCATCTGTCAGAAATGGTGGAGGGTCTCCTGCTTGGAGAGGTTGGACTAGATGACCTACAAGGTCCCTTCCAACTCTGTTAATCTGAATCCTCTCCGGCTACACAGAGGAGAAAAGGGCCAGGATGTCCAGGCACAGCAAAGAAGGGCAATTTTGCCTTGTCAGAATATACCAATCTCGGTAAGGGGGTTGGCTAATTTTCATTTGCTTTCCTGGAGAATAACATCTAAAGTGGAAGCCAGCGAGTCCCGTCTCAGCAGGTTTTGACTGCACACCCAGGTGTGCTCACCCACCCGCCAAGCAAAGCTTCCATTCAACCACCTGCTTTCTTACAGGCTCATGGCGAGGGGGGGGGGGCTTTCCAGGAGTTCAACAGCAGGGCAAATATGGGGAGGGTGCAACCCTTCAGCCCTGGAATTCAATGCGCACCTGTATTACAAGGGGCCCCTTTCATGGGCATCCTAGGGTTGCGCCTGAGCCCTTGGCCTGCTCACAAATAGCTGGTCTGCTGTCCCCGAGTCAGATTCGCCCCAGGCCCCAGGCCCCAGCCCTGGTTGCACAAGGCAGAGGCAGCAGGCAGCCCTTCCACAGACCAGTGCCTGAAGCCAAGAGTCATAAGCCTACTCGTCATGTGGGCGATTTATTTTAGGCACAGCTGATGTGTGAACACCCCCCACGGTTGGGTTTCCCTGGGATGCTTAAGGGCCTTAAGGAGTTAGGACGTTCCCCCACTTTGCACACTAAGCCACAAAAATAAACAAGCAGAGCAAGGCTACAACTCAGTCCATGACAACGACAATGCAGCGCAAGGATTGCTACATGCAGAGAGTATTCCTCCCTCCAGGGTGGGAATTTGCACTGAAAGAGGAAAGAGGTGGGTGAGTTTTAAAGGGGGCATTAATTATTATTATTATTATTTCTCAGCCTTCTGCCAACTCCCATCAATACGATGTCTCAGACTTGCAAACCTTCGTTTAGTGGCTGTTCGAAGTTACAACAGCACTTACAACTGGTCCTCATGCAACCATCACAGCATCCCCACATGATCAAAATGTGGACATTTGGCAATCAGTGTGTATTGATGACAGTTGCAGTGTTCCAGGCACACCTGATTGCTGTTTCTGACTTCCCAGCCAGCTTCTGACAAGCAAAGCCAGTGAACAAACTGCATGATTCACTTAACAAGGAGCCTTGGTAGTACAGTGGTCTAAAGCACCCTGTTATTAAGACCAGCTGCCTGCAATTACTGCAGGTTCGACTCTTGCCAGGCTCAAGGTTGACTCAGCCTTCCATCCTTTCTAAGGTAGGTAAATTGAGGACCTAGTTGTGGGGGCAATAAGCTGACTTTGTATAAATATACAAAAAAGGATGAAGGCTATTGCTTAGCATATTGTAAGCCGCCCTGAGTCTCCGGAGAAGGGCAGCATATAAATCAATTTTTTTTAAAAAAACCCAAACAATTGAAGGTAGCAACCATGGGGGGAAAAGTCAAAAAATTGGTTGTGTCTCACTTAAGAGCCACTGAGCTTTGCAATGGAAAACCCGTTTCCAATTTGATCCTAAGTCAAGT